TAGAAAGGACGGGGAGGTAAGGAAATCCCTTTCTACCCATTTTAGATGTCATCTAGGTCACAGGGCGACCATCGTGGAGGACACCCAGGCATTGGAATGACTGCCCTCCGTGTAATGAGGTCAGTGCTTTAGCCTCAGCCCTGCCAGTCTAAGTAAAGCCTGCTTGATACTTTGTCTCTGTTTTTACTATGGCGATTTATTAAGTGAGGTATTTAAGTTAGGTTTGGGATACAGTAAGTTCCCCAAAGAAGTCTTCATTCCAGGAGAATGTTCATTAGTTTGGATTCGTTTGCAAGTCCAGCAAAGTAAGTCTTATACATCTTTGACAGAAATATACAATGTAAAGCATAAAAAACCAAACACAAAATGTCCCTGACTGTACTGTACTACAGTACACAGGCAGGCACAAGAGCTACTTGTGTGATTTGTTGCATCTACACAGGTTTGCAATGCCGGGTCCTTTCCTATCTGTGAAAGTTCACTAGTCGCATGTTTGTAAGTCAGAGACTTAACTGTGGCTCAGCAAAGTGAACAGACTACAGATCCCAGAGAACAGGTTGGCATTCTGGGGCGCTAAGGGAGGGAAGCCATCTGGGCCACATCTCAGCCCACAGGTGGGAACAAAAGAGGTCGGGAACTACAGGACTGAACTTCTGTCAGGGTCCGGGCCATCAGCTGTTCTTGCGGGCTCTCCCTGAGGGGTGGCAATGGTTAATTTGAAGGACGCACGAGTTCCAAGGCAGGCCACTCAAGGGTTACATCTTGGGTTCAAACAGGTTTCCTAAGTTTAAAGCAAAAGAGAAGGCCAGGCATGGTGATACAGACCTGTAATCCCAGCACTCAGCAGGCCTGGACTATAGGGAGTTCAAACCCAGCCTGGGGTACAGGGAGAGACTGTCTCAAAAAAAAAAAAAAAGCAAAAGTGAGGGAGTCGAGTGGCTCACAGTGTGACCTTTATCTACCTAGGACATGTAACCGGATGGCCGGCTCCTCAGAATGCACACGTTGGGGCCAGACATCGCTCACGGTGTCTGCCGGGCAAATGCAAGGTCCTGAGTTCCATTCCTGATGCCACACACACACAGAAGTACAGGTGAAGGGTGACAAGCCAAGCTCAGGACAATATTATAGATGTCAAGGGCCGGGATGCAGTTCAGCAACAGAATGCTTACCTAGCCTGGTATGTGCAAGGTCCTGACTTTGATCCTTAGCACCTCAAAAAAAAAAAAAAAGTGGCCGCCAGAGTGCATTAATATGAATGAGAGTTATGATAATTCTCTAACATTGTGTCAGGTTTTCTGAACATCCCTGCAAGTCTGTGAAAAGGGAAGCTAAGAGAGATTCTATATTATGCAGCTAGGACCTGCGTAAGCTGTGAATAAACTTCTCTAACTCAGAGCTAAATTCTTTTCAGTAAGCCAAGAAATTCAAATTTCACTAGCGAAAATAGACCCTTTGAAAAGATCATTTAAGCGGGGTGTGGTGTGAATGTCTGTAATCCCAGCACTTGGGAGGCTGAGGCAAGAGGATTGCCCCAAGTTTGAGGCCAGCCTGAGCTATACTGAGTTCAAAACAAGCCGAGTGAGCCAGGGATTTAGCTTAGTGGCACAGCACCTACCTGGCAAGCATGAGTTCCTGAGTTCAATTCCCAGGACTTCTCAAAAAAAAAAAAGCAGGAAAAAAAAAAAAAAAAAAAAAAGCAGAATCAGCCTAGACTGTGTAGCAAGACTTTGTCTCAAATAAAACAAACAAACAAAAAAAAATCATTTGAAGCTGACAAGTTAGCTATTAGTGAGACTGTGGCTTAAATTATATGATAACCAGGCATGGTACTGCATATCTGTAATCCCAGTATTTGTGAGGCTGAGGCAGGAGGACTGAGAGTTTGAGGTCAGCCTAGACTTCCTACGAAGACCTTGTACCAACCCCCACCCCAGGAAAAAAAAGTCATTTGATGCCACACATGGTGGTGCACTCCTGTAATCCCAGCACTCAGGAGGCTGAGGAAGGGGATCGCTGTGAGTTCCAGGCCAGCCTGGACTACACAGTGAGTTCAGGGCCTGCCTGAATTACATAGCAGAGTAAACCCTCGTTGTAGTCTGGGTTTGCAAGGAAAATGATTTAATACTGGATGTATAATTTATAAAACTATTTTATAATAGTCATCCAAAGAGTCAAATACAAAAAAAGTGGGGGCTGGGGATTTAGCTCAGCAGCATAAGTGCCTGCCTTGCAAGCAGGCAGTCGTGAGTTCGATGCCTGGTACCGGTAAAAAGTAAAAAGACAAAAAAAAAAAAAAAAAAAAAAAGTGCAGGAGATCTGTCCACACACTAAAGACCCAAAGAATCCACTGATCCCATGGCAATGACCTGCATGAGTTCAGGTGAAGACCTACAGCCCTTGACAATGTCCCCCACAAGTCCAACTGGAGCCCAAAGCCCACAATGACCCATGTAAGTCTGTTTCGTGGATCTGCACTGGGAAGGCCCAAAGGGCAGCGGTGGAAGCTAAAAAGTCTGTGCCCAGAGGATGAAGGATCTGTGCAGTGAGCCGAGGGATTTGCTCTGGAGCCAGGAAGTGATGATCAAAGTATGGACCAGAGTCTCCCCAAAAAGGAATGCAAGCCATCCTCAGTGACAGCCAAGGTCCTGAGCTCCTCTGACAATTACAGCCAGCCTGCCATGCTTCTCCAGATTGAACAGCACAGCATCGTGCCCTCTGGAGCCACGAAATGATGGTCACGGTAAGGACCAGAGCTCTCCCAAAGTGAACCACAGCCATTTTCAGCAACAACAAGGTCCTGAGCTCCTCTGGCAATGAGAACAGCAAAGTTCCCATCAGGAGAGAAGCCTGAAAATCTCCCCAGGAGAACCCACCTGAACAGGAGAACCAACCACTCCTTCCTCTCCAGTTGGCCTTTTTATGTTGTTGGCAACAAACTCAGGTGAGCCCTCCTCACCCAGCCGCCGCACTGACTCAGTTCAGCTGGGCGTTGCAAGTTGACTACCAGGTGTCAGTCCCCCTAAACAGTCTACCACCGTCCATCCCAGAACGGAGTCCCGTGGTCTTCAAGGCTGCGTGTCATCCGGCCTTCTACCCTCCCCATCACTAACGCCTTCCCAGCCTCACTGGTCGCCTTTGACCCACTGAACACACTGGTCACAAGCGCTTTGACTTAACTGTTCCTCTGCCTGAAATGCTGTTCACCTGGAGACCTTCATCGCTCAATCCTGCACCTCCTTCAGGTTTTTGATCAACTCTTCAGTATATTTTCTTAGCTGGCCCTCTTTAAACTGCAAAACCAGCAGGGCATGGTGGCATACATCTTAGTCTGTTAGGGTGGTTGAGGCAGGAGAATCTCCTAAGTCTAGGAGTTCAAGGCCACTGTGGGCAACATAGTAACACTTCATTAAAAAAGGGTGTGTGAGGGGAAACAAAAATAAAAACAAAGCAAAATGCAACAAAAACAGCAAAGCCAAACTGGAGGAGTAGGTCAGTGGTAGTATGCTTGCTTAGCATATAGAAGGCCTTGGATTTAATCCTAAACACTGAAGAAAAAAAAACATTGTATGCTACCTACCACTCCGTTTTCCTCATTTTTTTTTTTTTTTTTTTTTTTGTCTTTTTCTTTTTTATTGGTACTGGAGATTGAACTCACAGACTGCCTGCTTGCAAGGCAGGCGCTTATGCCGCTGAGCTAAATCCCCAGCCCCTGTTGTTTTGTTTTTTGAGACAGGGTCTCACTATGTAGCTCAGGCTGGTCTCAAACTTGAAAGGATCCTCCTGCCTCAGCCTCTAGAGTGCTGGGATTACAGGTGTGCACCACCACACCTGGCTGTTCATCCTGTTCTGTTGTCATAGCATAGCACTTACTACTCTGACTTTCCCTCTGTCCTTCCTATTGACTGTTCACTAGCAAGGATGTTGTTGCCAAGGAGGTTGGAATTGTGTCTTTAAAAAATAAAACAAAAGCTGTTCCATATTCCCATCACCTCAAATGCTGTCTGGCATGTGATAGGTACTCACTAACCCTTGGTTGGATTTGTTTTTGTTTTTTTTTTTTGGTACTGGGGATTGAACTCATGACTTAGCATTTGCCAAGCAGACACTTAGGCCACTGAGCTAAGCCCCTAGCCTCTCCTTGGTTGGATTCTTGAATGTTTCTGTTTTACTGGAAGCTGGCCAAGGTTTGAGCCAGATAGAGTTTGGGTCTGGAGCAGATGATGAATAAAATTGTGGAAGGAGATAAGCAAACCAGGAGAGGTGCTGGGGCTATTCCAAAGTAACACAGACACAAGAGCAGGAGGTCCCTAAATCTCTCTCTCTCTCAACTCTTGCTAAGTCAAACAACTTTGATCCTCTTGCCTAAGCCTTCCAGGGTGCTGAGATTCCCAGACATGCATCGCCATGTCCACTTGCATCTGCATGGCTACTAGAAAGACATCTGAGGCCATCGGAGACTCCTTGCCCTCACATCTCACCCCCAACAAAATTCCATATTATTGTCTATGTTGTATTTTTTTTGTGTGTGCTGGGATTGAACTCACGACCTCGGACTTGCCGCTGAGCTAAAGCCCCAGCTGTGTCTATGGATTTTTGAAGTGGGTTAACTCTGCACCACTGCGACCACAGCCATCCTCTCCAGCAGACTCCTGCTGCCAACCCAACCTGAGAACCTCAGTTGTTCAAAATCTGCGGACCTCCCGGACTCCTCTCGAGGCAGCTTTTGCTGACCAAGCGTCCTCCTCTGGCCTCCTGAGCCTCCCTTCACGCACATGCATCACTGGTGGCTGGGAGCCTGCCACCCACGTGGCTGGGGGAAGCTAAGGGACGCACTGTAATTCTGAGGTGCCTGCGTAGGTCACCACGGCGTCAGGGAGCGAAGACTGCGAGGTCGTCCCGGAGAGGTAGAAAGGGAGCCAGGAGTCAGCCCGGGAAGCCAATGGGTGAGTGTGAAGGATGTTCCGCTGCGTCAGCGAGGCCCAAAGCGCCCTTGGGAGGAGGAGCCCAGGAACCGGTGCAGTTGGTTCGCAGCGGAGCAGGACTGCGGCCTGCTTCCAGCTAGGGGCGCCCTGGCACGGGTCGGAGAGCGGGGTTTGGCGAGCCGCGCGGCCCAGGAGCTCGGGGATTCTGCAGTCGGAGCCGAGGGAGCGAGGACCGCGGCGGCACCGAGAGGCGCCAGGTCCTAGGTCCGCGGACCGAGGGGAGCGGCGTCCTCTGCGCAGGCGCGCCGCCCTCCGGGGGAGGGGCCTATGGTGTAGGGGCGGGGCCAGGCCTGGTCCCGCCTCCGCGAGCGCCTGGGCGTCCAGGAGAGCTTGGCCCCCGGGCTATTCTGGGGGCTGCAGGTGAGCCGGGGCTTATGGACGTCGAGGAGACCTCCCTCGAGGTCGCGCGGTCTGGCTGGCCGCGGGGCCATCTGCACTGTCGTCTGCCTGCGGCCGCCTCCGCACACAATGGGAGAACAAAGGGAGGGGGCGGTTCTGGGCCCCGGAGGGAATCCAGGGTCCCAGGTACCCCGCCCCGCCCGCTGACACTTTCGGTTTCTCCCGAGTCTTAGGCGCCGCCCTAGAGACCCTGGGCTGGCGCCGGGCGCTGCTGGCTCTCCGCGTTTGCCTGTCCGTCTTTGTGTCTGTCTGTGTCTGTCTGGCCGTCTCCGAGCTTGCCTCACCTCCAGCACTAAGGCGCCTGGCACCGACACCCCACCACGCCAGCACCTCTCCCTCTCTGATGGCAGGTAAGCGGACGCTGGGCCGGGGGCTCCGTTATCCCCCCACGGACTCGGGTGCTGGGTGTGGAGCACATCCTCTAGGAATGTGCTCCGACTGGCTGGCTGCTCGGGCCCTCCCTTCCTCCTGGGAGCCACCGCCCTGCACCCCTGCCCCATCCTCCTCGCCTTCCACACGTTTCCTGCGGGGTCTTTCGGCCCTTGGGCTAAGGAATAATGGGATGAGGCCGCAGGTACCTTTCTGATTTGCCCCTGCCCCTTCCCGACAGGTTACCTACCCCCCAAAGGCTATGCCCCTTCACCCCCACCTCCCTACCCTGTGACCACCGGATACGCGGAGCCTGCGCAGCATCCTGGGCCGGGGCAGCCTTCCGTGCCCGCCCAAGTGCCTCCCCCTGCACCTGGCTTCGCTGTCTTCCCTTCGCCGGGCCCTGCGGTCCCTGTGGTCCCCGTGGCCCCCGTGGCCCCCGGGCCTTCTGTCCCCTTCTTGCCACTGCCAGGGGTGCCTTCTGGTCTCGAATTTCTGGCGCAGGTGAGTGGCAGGGAGGGTGTGGGGAGAGGACCTGGGAGTCCAGTTGGCCAGATGATCAGCACTACCCCTGTCCTCCTCAGATTGATCAGATCTTGATTCATCAGAAGACTGAGCCAGTGGAAAGTAAGTTGCAGGACTCCTTCCCTTGCACGGAATTAGGCAGGGCTTATTACCACAGCAGCCCTGGAGACTTCTGGGTGGGCACCTAAGCCACTGTGTGTCACCCCGACAGCGTTCCTAGGCTGGGAGACCTGCAACCGCTATGAACTGCGCTCAGGGGCTGGGCAGCCTCTGGGTCAGGCGGCTGAGGAGAGCAACTGCTGTGCCCGCCTGTGCTGTGGCTCCCAAAGGCCGCTTCGTGTCCGCATGGCAGACCCTGGGGACCGGGAGGTGCTGCGCCTGATTCGTCCACTCCACTGTGGCTGCCTCTGCTGCCCCTGTGGCCTTCAGGAGGTGGGCAGTGAGCTCTGGGGCTGCAAAGAGGCTACAGCGCTAGGTGGGGGCAAGCAGGTGGACCTTGATGGGGCAGGGCTAGGAGAGCGGTGTGGCTCCTAGTGCTAGTGGGCAGGCAAGGATGGCGGGTTTAGTGAGGGGCTGGGTAGACAAAAGGCTTGGATGCCGGATAGTGCCAGGACCAGTGAGCACATGGGTCAGGGTGCATGGGCTCAGCAGTGACCCTCTGCCTCCCCCTCCAGATGGAAGTACAGTCTCCACCAGGCACCACCATTGGTCACGTGCTCCAGACCTGGCATCCCTTCCTCCCTAAGTTCTCTATCCAGGATGCTGATAGACAGACTGTCCTGCGAGTGGTGGGACCTTGCTGGACCTGTGGCTGTGGCACAGATACCAACTTTGAGGTACTGGGATTAAAGGGGAGATTCCTGAAATCTTTATAAGCTAACATGGCAGTTTCCCTCAGGCAGAATGGCTTGACTAAAGTCAAGATTCTGAGGTCATCAATCCAAATGCATTTGACTCCTACCACAATTCCAGTTTTCCTCTAGTCAGAAATGGGATGGCTAGCTGGGTGTGGTGACTCAGGCCTGTAATCCCAGCACTCGGGAGGCTGAGGCAGGAGGATTGTTGCGAGTTCGAGACCAGCCTGGGCTACAAAGTGAGCTCATGGCCAGCCTGAACTGCACAGTGAGACCCTGTATCAAAAAGAAAAAAAGGAAAGAAAAGAAAAGAAATGGGATGGCTTTGTAGTCTTACAAAAGCATAGCAAAAAAGATTTCATCTTCGGAACCAGTGTCGATGGTTACCTATAGCACTGGGTTGGGTTGGAGGTAACTGAAGTCCAGGTGATACCTTCTTATCACCAGTGGATCCTGGAGAACTAAGTGATGCTCTCGGGTTAGGCCAGGCCTGAGAAATACTTTAATTTCTAAAGACAGAGGTATTTCATAGACCCCCAGGTTCTTTAAGGGATAATTTCCTGTGCAGATAAGAAAGAAACAACAGTATTATCCAGGAGATGTTGTAAGACTTCCAACAAGGTATTTCACCTCAGGGTACTTTTAAAAAGTGAGTCACGTGGTAGTACCAGGGAGGCTCTGTGATGGGCACCAGTGGGGAGGAGGTAGTTGTGTGATGTCTATGTGGATATGTGGGTTCTGAGAGGGCCAGTGACCCTTTTACACAATTATGAATGGTCTGTGGTAGAATTTTGGTGCGGCTGAAAAGAAAGAATTATGAAATATAAATGACCTTTTTTTTTTTTTTTTTTTTTTTTTTTTTTTTGTATTTTTACCGGTACCAGGGATTGAACTCACAACCACAGGCTTGCAAGGCAGGCGCTTATGCTGCTAAGCTAAATCCCCAGCCCCAAAAGACCTCTGTTTTAAGAATGTGGGGAGAGATCCCCTGACCCTCCCGGGTCTGGCATTGTCTCCTTGGGACACGTGGTGTGGGGGCATACCTGTAGCTCAGGTTTGGGGTGGAGCCTAAGGGGCATTAGTGATGCACAGGTAGCCCATTGGTATTCATTTCGCGCCACAAGTAAATTCCTAGGGGCGGGGGAGATAGAGCTCCAGCTAGAGCCCCCTGGTTCCGCCTCCCAGCCTCCTCCCAGATACAGTGTCCAGCCTAGGGCAAGATTCTGTGCTGATGCTACACCCTCAGGACCGCGGCGCTGGCTGGGACAGGCCCTGCTCAGCCTGGGGCAGGGCTGCAGGAAGTGCCCCCTGCTTTAGGACAGTGGAGGAAGGGGATGGACAGGATATAGAAGGAAATCGCTCTGGGCCTAGTCACCAGATCCTGAGCATAAAAAAGGACCAGGAAGTAATTAGGAGTTACTGCCCACATCAGCAGAGCCTATTGCTGGGCTCCGAGAGGTTGGTCCTTAGAGGCACTCCCTACAACCAGTAGGTTGGATGAGACCCACGTTCAGTGCTGGACAGGGCATGCCTCTACTTTGCAGACTACAGAAAAGTCATCCATGGCAGACATGGCCATCTAAGAGCTAGGATTTTGTCAGCTTGCTTTGCTCGTCAGCCAGACTTCTCTGCAGAGTGCAGACTCTCCCGCCCGTGGGTGTCAGGGACAAACCAATAAGCAGCCCTACGCTGAGGGGATTTGACGACGTTATGCTTCCATTTCTGCTACTGCTATTCAGTTATGTCACCCATGGCCTTTGGAGAACAGATCTGAGTTTGAACCCTGATATTTGCAGTTTACTTGCATGTAATGTAGGATGTAGGGTGTCTGTCTCTCCAGCTATCACATGGAATCCGGAAGTGTTAGGATTCTTTTTTTTTTTTTTTTTTGAGACGGTCTCACTTTGCAGTTCAGGCTGGTCTTGAAGTTGCAATGATCACCTGCCTCAGCCTCCTGAGTGCTGGGATTACAGGTGTGCCCCACCATGCCTGGCTCCAGGATTCTTTTTTTTTTTTTTTTTTTGTCTTTTTCATTTTTATCGGTACCGAGGATCGAACTCACGACCGCCTGCTTGCAAGGCAGGTGCTTACGCTGCTGAGCTAAATCCCCAGCCCCAGGATTCTTATTTTTTGGTACCAGTGATCAAACACGTCCTTGGGCTCCCTGCGCTTGCCAGGCAGGTGCTTATGCCACCGAGCTAAATCCCCAGCCTGGTAGGGTTCATCTGGTGTGGACCCTGCACAGTTCAGACACGGTGACCCTGGGAGTGCGGTTGGTCCCATCCTCCCCAGTCAGAGCCTCCTTCCCTCCTGACAGGTGAAGACCAGGGACGAGTCCCGCAGCGTGGGCCGCATCAGCAAGCAGTGGGGAGGGCTGCTGCGAGAAGCCCTCACGGACGCCGACGACTTCGGCCTGCAGTTCCCTCTGGACCTGGATGTGAGGGTGAAGGCCGTGCTGCTGGGGGCCACGTTCCTCATCGTGAGTTGGCTGCCCCTGCCCCTCCCCTCTGCCACTCCCTGGCTGTCACCTGATGCCTCTTGCCAGGAAAATGTTAGGGACGGGTATGGCGGGTGAGGGTGGGCGGTGGGTGTTGTGGATCAAGACTTGGGCTGTGACGGCTGAGCCAGGCTGACCCAGCCAGATCTGTTGACAGTCGCTTCCCCTCAGGACTACATGTTCTTCGAGAAGCGAGGAGGTGCTGGGCCCTCCGCCATCACCGGTTAGAGGACGCCTCAGGGTGAAGAGACCATCCCTCCGACCAGAATTCCAGATGGTCACTTGCTCTGGCCTGGCCTCTTCTCAGAGAGAGCCCCTTTCCTCCGTGTACACTGCGGGGGACAGACGGGGTTCCTGAGTGGCTGGGGGCCCTGGAGCCCCAGCCCTGCCCTCTCCCCTCGCCCCCTTCACCCGTGGCCCCACGGAAGGGTACGTATAAGCGCCCTTTCCTGCTGCCGCCCAGTGGCCCCTTACACAAAGGCATATCGGCTTTCAACCTGCCCCTGACCTCCCCCTCCGACTCTCAGGGCCTCTGCACCAGCGAGAGGCCCTGGGAATCCAGAACTTTGGTGTGCCACAGGGTTAGCGGGAGAAGAGCACATAGCACCAAAGATGGCGGGTACACTGCCTTTCCCCTGCATCAGCTTGGCCAACGAGTTCAGCCTTAGACTATGGCACCTTGGGGGAGCCCCACTCCCCACTAACAGCTGCAGAGGCTGGGCCCTCGTGCCAACCCTCCCTCCCCCTGGGCCCTGCCCACGGCTGGTGCTTGCTGCAGCTTCCTGTGCCTTAACCACCCCCGCCTTCCCTTGCACTAGGAAGGAGGCTGCATCTTTGTACGTTGTATTCACATAAAGTTTGTAACTTTTTGAACATTGGAAGATGTATGTAATGGGAGAGGGTAAAGAATCATGGGAAAACACAAAGGGAACTTTGAGAGCTGGGCTGGGGTTGCCCCATCTCATAATCCATGTTACGAGGATCAAATGTCCTTCAGTCCAAGAGGCTGATAATTTCACCATCTGTGGCAGCCCTGGCTTACACCAAGGCAGTTTGGGCCACGTATCCCAAGTCGATACGGCTGCTTCCAACATCTAAGATGGCTGCCCCACAAAGTCCGGTGAGGTAGCAATGGCAGCCCAGGATGGCTGTTCCATGGTCCAGTGTAACCACCTCATCAGTGACCGCAGTGGGCAGAAGCTGCCTCTTGATAAGCTACACTGCAACTACTTTCCTTCAGGTTTTCTTCGTTGATAATGCAATGACAGAGTGGATTAGCTCCTTCTTGTCCCAGCAAAAGGTTCTTCGGCCCTCAGAGACAGGGGACAGGGTAGGGAGGAGACTGATCGGTGCCCAAGCCTGGGCTTCCCTGAGCACTTCCTGACCTTCCATAGCAAATGGAATCTCCTTAGGTGGGAAGGTCTCACCTTAACCCTATCAAGACTTTAACTCTGATTCTGCTTGTTCTTCTATGGCCCGGCCTTGAGGGGTCCCGGGGCTCCATGCTGGTGTCTGTGCCCTCGGAAAAGAGCTCAGGACTGGGCCAGGACATAGCGGCTGGCAGCTGAGAGGTCCCACTGATAATGCTCTAGGATGCGCTGGCAGTCAGCCCTGGACCGGCTGCTCAGGTGGAAGAGCTGTTCTACCTGCGGAGGCAAGGGAGGGCGTCGGGCTTCCATCGCAGGTCGCAGGGATAGGAGAAGCAGCGTGGGAGAAGGTGCTGGCTTTACCTTGAGGTTTCGGATGGCAGCAACAACATCTCCGCCTGCGGCTCTTAGTGCCGCCTGGCATTCCTGGTGGGTGACACCATGCACACTCCCCTCCACCTGCAGGGCACAAAGCCTCCTCAGGCCCTTGCCGCATCTCAAGGCCTTTCTGCACACTTGGCCAGTGGGGAGCCCTCACTCACCTCTCTTATCCTCCTCTGCCATTCCGTGTCGGGGAAGGGGCCTCCAGAGGGGACAGTGGCTTTACTGGCTCCAGATGTGTTAATACTGCGGTGATTATGGAGGGCTTCTCTTTTGGGCCTGGGAGGCTTCTCTCTGGGGGGCTGGCTGGGCTGGGAAGAACTGGAGGTGAAGGGTGGGCGTGGAGGCAGGCCTTGGAGTCCCAGGAGCACAGCCCTGGTACGTCGAAGTTCGGGGGGACTTGATCCACCCCCTGTGGGGCGAGGGCCCAGGGACAGAACTGATTCCAGACTCTTGGAAATACCTGTCCAGATGAGAAAAGAAACAACTTCAAAGAAGACGCTGGTCCCAGGTCACACTTTTTCCTGCTTTCTATCTTTATCTGTGATGCGCTAGATGGTTTCATGAGAATTTCCAGCCAGCACTGTCCTTGGGGTGGTCCGTGTGTTAAATGGGACAATCGGGCAGGTGTAGAAATGGGCATCAGAACTTCGGTAGCACCAGGAGTGGTGGTGGGAAGCTGGGGCGAGAGGATCACTGTGAGTTCGAGGCCAGCCTGAGCTACACAGTGAGTTCAAGGCTACTGTTCATTCCATAGAGAGACCCTGTCTCAAAAGGAGAAGGAAAACAGGAAAAGGCGTGTGTCGCTCGCCCCGAGTGGTAGGAGTGCCACACGCCTGTGATCCCAACTACTCAGGAAACTGAGGCAGGAGGACTGCAAGTTCAAGGCAACGTAATGAGCCTGTCTCAAAAATCAAATGAAAGACTGGGATGCAGTTCACTGATAGAGCACCCCCGGGTTTGGTCCCTAGCACCGATTGATGTCGCAAACTCAGCCAGCGTGGGAGGATGCGATCCACTGGGGAAAGCTGTACATCTCTAAGGTCTTCAAATACAGCAGGATGCCTGCAGGCAGGGCTGGAGGAAGGGGGTCATTCACGCAGGGCTGTGGATTCAAGACAGCGGCCCGGGCGGCTGTCACTGCCCCTGCAGCCTGGTACCCACCTTTCGTCCTCTGCAGGGGCACCTTCCTTCTCTGGCCCTGTGCTGGAGGTAGGTCCCGGGGCTTTTCCTTCTCTCTGTGGAGCGAATGGTCTGGTTCAGACCCCTCCCCTCACACACGCATCAGTGTTCCCTCCCGATGAAACTGGGGCTCCGGGATGTGCTGAGGCCCACCGGGAAGCTGCTGCTGAGAGGCGGTTCCAGTCGCCCCCTCCCCATCCTATCCTCTATCCTCCATCCTGTCTTCTAGAGAAGTCGGCCAACTTGGACCGTCTCCTCGCCCCAGCTCCGTCCTCAGCCCTTACAGTGCCTCACCTGTCTGTATTCCCCTGGCCTCGCTCTCCCCTTCCAGGGGAGCCTCTGTGGACTGGACGGGTAGCCGAGGAGCCCCCCGAGTCTGCAAGCGTCACTGCCGAGGCTGGGAAGCTGCCCACTTTTAAGGTGCGGCCGTTCTGTCCCTTCCAGATGGTAGAGTCAGGGCTGTGGGAAGAGGACTGGTGAAGGGGGTGAGGGCCAGGGAGAATGCAGCTGGCCCGGGCCCATTCAGCTCCCCAAGCTGTGTGCCTTGTGGCTGCATCTGCCTGGAGGAAGGGAAGTGTTTTTCTTCCCTACACAAAAGGGCTCTATGGGCCCGGCAGGGCTCTAGAAGGGAGGCCAGCCCTGGAGCTAGAGCTCAGAGGGGAGGGGAGAACACTGAAGACTAGCCTTCAAGGACTTGGGGAGAGGTGAGAGGGGTTCCGGAATCAAGAAAGCTTGGGAAAGTGGGCTCCCCTGTAGAAGTTTGGGGGGCATGAGGCTGGTACCTGCCCTCAATGATGGTGATGGAGTCGCCAGGCTCCATCTGCAAAGCTCCTGGCTCTGTGACGTCCCTCACGCAGCATCCCTCAGAAGGCCAGGCCTGTGGGGACAGGAGGAAAGGCTGGGCTTTCAAAAAGCCTGAGTCGGCAGGGTAGTATGGGATCAGGAAAGAAAGACCTTTTATGCACCTGCCAGTCAAACCCATGGCAGGTGTGTCCTGTTCTGGGCCCCAAAAGGACTGCCACTGTCTCCCAGTTGTCACCGACTGGGGAGGCCTACCTAAATTCCCTGCCAAGCTAACATAGCTCAAGGATCGAGGAACAATGCAAGAGGGCCCTCTTGCTGCCTAGGGAGACCACAGGCAGAGCTGTTACTGCTTTTCTCCGCACCGCAGCCCGAGAGCTCTGCCTCCCAAGTCCTCGGGAAGGTTTCCACGCCTCTCCAGCACCGTCTCCTTACCCCTCACCCAGATCATGTCTAGCTTGTTTCAGTCAGTGCTGGCAGGATCTCTCAAAACCATTCTTAGACCAGGACACAGTAAAATAACACGAAGTTGGCTTGTAACCCCCTGCCCGACACATGTCCACAACACCCCTGGAGAGAAGACAACTCCTTTACTCATGTGGCCATTTAGGGAAGAGCTCTTGAAGTCATGCTGACCAGTGCTTAAGTCAATTCTTGTACTTACTTGGTGGTTTTAGGTAAGTTACTGAACAGTGCCTCAACTGTTCCATCCACTAAATGGGAGAATAAGTGCTTCATGACGTGGATGAGAGCACTAAATGAACAAACAGGCATAAACACGCCTGCAAAGCACCAGTCCACAGTATGAGACTACTCGTGTGCTGTGTGGGAGCCATGGTTCCTGACGCCCCAGAACCTTCCATGATGCAGACCTGCTCTCCTCCGCAGCCCCATTTCTTCCATTTCCCCTCCCACGCAGAACTTCTCTCTTTGCCTGTCCCACACCCTCCGGGACCTACCGCACTCTCCTTTGGGCGCAGGCACACACAGGCTTTCAGCCTGCAGCAAAGTAGCCCATGCCTGCCTTCCCAGGAACCTGAGCTCCTGAAGGTAGGGAATGAATCTTTTTTTCAGAGCGGGTCCCGAGCCTAGCACAGCTGTCTGCACATCATAGTCTTTTGCATGGAACCCCGGGGCATAAGGGAATGGAGGGGAGAGGTGCACTACGTGCGTCTGGGGGAGGAGCTGGGGTCCCCACCTCCTGGAGCAGCTCCTCCAGGTAGGAAAAGTTAGGCCTGTCCGAAGGATGGGGGGCCCAGCACCGCAAGGCGACAGAGTAGAGGGCCCTGGAGCAGAGCGGAGGCCTGGGCAGCCGGGCTCGGTCCTTCTCCAGCAGCTGCAGGATGAGGTAGGGCGGGACTCCGGCCCAGGGCTCCTCGCCCCCCGAGAACATCTCCCACAGCGTCACCCCGAACATCCACACGTCGGAGGCCGAGGAGAAGGCTCCCTGGCGCAGGCTCTCTGGGGCACACCTGCGGAAGGGGGTGCTGAAGGGGACTGCCCTCCGGAGCGCCCACCCCCAAGCCCACCCAGGCGGCGCCCTCACCAGGCGTACGGGATGGGGCGGGGCCCGCCCATGACGTAGTGGCCGCGAGCGCCGCCCAGCGGCCGCACCAGCCCAAAGTCGGCCACCTTGATGGTGCTGGGCGACATCAGCAGCAGGTTTCGCGTCGCGAGGTCCCGGTGCACTAGCCCGCGGGCCCCCAGGTACGCCATGGCCCCTGCCAGCTGCCGAAGAAAGAGGCAGAGCAGAGGCACGGGTAGCGAGGGCGTCGGGGCCGGGGCCGTCAGCCGTGCGTGCAGCGAGCCCAGTGGCGCCAGCTCCATCACCTGCAGAGGCACAGACCCGCCATGTGCGCTGCCGCCCTGCGGCACCCTGCTGCCCGCCACACACCAGGCCTGGGGCTGTCTGGGGACCGGCGCTCGGTGGGCTCACCATCTGCAGAGGCTGGCCCAGTACCAGGCCGTGCAGACGCAGCACATGCGGGTGCTCCAGCTTCATCATGATGGACACCTCCCGCAGGAAGTCTCCCAGCTCTGTGCCTACGGGGCCTTCCGGACCCACTCGGAGGGACTTGACAGCCACCGGGACCTGGCGATCGGAAGAAGCATCATTAGGCACCCTGGGGCCGGCCTTATAAAGGCCAGACACAGAGGACACAACGAATGCAGGGGGCAGCTGTGCCAGGACCCCCGGATACTCACGCTCTGGCCGTTAGGCAGCGTCCACAGTCCCCGATGTACTACGCCAAAGCAGCCTGAGCCCAGCAGCTCCCTTCTGCACACAGCACCCTCTGGGATCAGACACTTGAGTCCCCTCTCGGGCTCAGGGAGGCTTGCAGGGCTGTCTGAGGGTGGGGTGGTCTCCTTTTGCTCAGGGGCAAAACCCCCAAGGATCTGAAGGAGGAGTGGGAACTCAGGCACCTCCTGCACCCTCCTGCTGTTTAGCTCACCCCACTCCCAGGCCCTAAAGAGGCCATTTAAACTCTTCAGACATCACCATCACTACCACGTACCTTATAGACCCAATTCTTGGACTTGACCCCTGATCGGTGCCTCTTGAGAGCTTCAGTCAATCTGCGCTGGGCTGGGAGGGGCCAGAATCAGAGACTGGGGCATGGGTGGGGTGGACACGGTTTACAGAGATTTATCAGCGAGAGGACTGTGGTGTGAGGGAATGGGCTGGCAACTGACAGGCTGGGAAGGAGTCACCAGGGCCTCGGGGCAAGGGTTCCTCACCAGGTCGGCCCATGCCGATGCTGTCCAGGTCTTCAGGCCGTACAAAGTTGAAATGCTCTGGCCGAGTGACATTAAGTTCTTCAAGGATGGGTCGATAAAACTGGGCCAGTTGGATGTTCCGGAGCAGCTGTAGTAGCCATAGGGAGCTGGCCTCAGGGGACAGGTCTGGAGAAGGACCCATAACCACGATGGCGGTCTGCTTCAGATGTAAGGCCTAGGATAGGACCTAAGACACTCAGACACCAGAGATGGGGTCTCCAGTGCCACTATTCACCCATCAGAAACAGGCCCAGGGGAAGGAACACATCAGAGACACAGGAACCCTGACACATCAGAGACACAGGCAAATCCCGAGTAAGATGCTCCTCAGCCCCAAGGCTGCAGATACTGTACCCCCCCACCATCCCCTCACCAGAAGCCTGCCCCTCTCATACCTGAGGTTTTAGAACACTGCCTGCACTGGCGAGAGAACCCAGGTGTGCCACAGTCCATGCTCCAGAGAGACAATGGCATGCTGCCCTGTACCCTCAGGACACCCACATACACTGTGCCTTCAGAACTGAGATAAACTGTTACACGTGCTCATTTGTATATACCTCAGACCTCTCTCCTCCTCTTACATGAGACATTTTTGCTTCCCGCACACCCTGGAGATGCCCAGGTACGCTAACCATACCACACCTCACAGATGCGGGTATGGGCCAAGGATATAGCTCAGCAGACACAAGTGCCTGCCTGGCAAGTGCAAGGTTGTGAGTTTGATCCCCAATACCAAAAATAAAAGCTCAAAGATGTGGGTACACACACACAAAGGTACACTGGCTCCCCCGTACCACTACAAATCCACAGGGTTACTGCCAAATGTGCCTGAGACATTCACAGCTACCCTCCCAAGTCAGAGACGTTCCAGTGTGGTGTCACAACTCTAGGACTACTGCCACGCTCACTGTCACACATATACACTTGAACAAGGCAGTTCACTCCCTCCACACGCCGGAGACACCTGGATAAACACACAGCTCACGAGCCATCCACGCATAGTGCCCATACACACCTAAGTTACGTAGCCGTGCTGGCCCTCACCCCAGCGATGCTCCGGTCATGCCCTTTTAATCAGCCAAGTTACCCCAAAGTCACCGAGGCTGCCACAGGCAGCTTTTGCACACCTGCCTGACTCAGCCTGGCACACCTGTGGCCCTCAGTCTAATTCCACTTCAAGGCTTCTCCACCGGCCTTTATGTAAATAAACTCTAGAGCTAGGCACTCCTGGTACGGCTGCCTGCACTACACCTGGGCCCCTCACGCCCCAACTTCAGTTACAGGAGAAGGAAGCTAAGACCCCAGGCCAGGCCCACTTGGCAGCCCCGAGGCTGGGTCCACTTGGCCAGCCGCAGAGGAGCTGGCCCTGGAGGAACTCCCAGTGCCCGAAAGACCCGGTCAGGTGGGGAGAGCAAAGCACAGAAGAAGCAGAAGAACCCAGACCTCGCCGAAGACCCAAGGTGGGGAGCGGAGGCACCCCTCGGACAGCCCCCCGGGCAGATGCTCTGCCGGCCCCTCTGCGGCCCCTGCTAGTGGGTGCAGCCCTCACCTGGAGAAGACGGAAGTGGCGCTGTGGCACTGCCCAGGCTGCCAGCGCTAAATCCCGAGAAGGGCGGGACGGGGGTGGGTCCTGGCTGCTGGCCAGGGACAGCAGGAACCGCGCTCCCAAGTCCTGGCCATGCAAAATGAGAGAGGCCAGGGGCGCTGGCTGCTCTTTCTTTCGGTAGCTTAGCTCGGCCCCTGGACCACAAGAAAGCCACCTGCCCTGCTTCCCTCTCCCCTCCTGTCCAGCCTCTCCAGCTGGACTTCCTCCTCTGGGTCCAGGGCTTTCTCCCCAGCGCGTTCTTTCTCACTATCAGGACGCACCCTGCGTGAGTAAGGCCTGATGGAGACACCCTGCCCAGACCTGGGAACTAGGCGGAAAAGGACACAGCGCGGGCCTGCCTGCATGGAGATTGCGCCTCACACCCTCACTGGGGAGCAGGGGCCCAGGGATGGAGATGTCGGTGCCTGTGGCCTGCTGTGGGTGGGCACGGCTCCCGCCCCCATCTCTGGCGGGGAAAGCCCTTCTTGCACTTGGTAAACAGCAGTATGTTACACCATACTCGATGGGACAGTGTTTTTTGCTTTTGTTTTCTTTCAGGAATCGAACTCACGACCTTGTGCTTGCCCAGGCAGGCTCTGTGCCTGCTGAGTCACATCTCGCCCCTCGGTGGGAAAGTGTTTGTACCGCAGTTCCACAGAATGGTCTTCTGGCCAGCTCTCTTGCCTCCAGCCAGCCCAGCGCTGGCACACTGTGAATTCCGCAGGGTAGGGGCAGGGCCCGTCTTATTTATCACTGTGTTCTAATTGTCTAATTGACAGTAAAGCACAGTGTAGGGTAGACACAGTACATGTTAGTTGTAAAGAAAAGTTCTCAGGCCGGGGATTTAGCTCATCGACACAAGCACCTGCCTGGCAAGCATGAGGTTGTGAGTTCGATCCCAGGACCAAAATAAAATAAATTAAAAATCTGCTCAGAGCCAGTGCATGTCTGTAACGCCAGACTGTGAGAGACTGAGGTGGGAGGATTACAATTTTGAGCCCAGTCCGGGCAACTTAGTAACGCAGAAAGACTCTGTTTCAAAATTGAAAAATTAAAAGGGAATATAGCTCAGCAGTAGAGCCGTTGCCTAGCTGTTCATGAGGCCCTGGGTTAAAATCTCCAGTGTTACCAAAGGTAAAATCTATGAGAAGAAGCTTCAAAAGGAAAGAGAAACTGCAATGGGGTGATGGAGAAAAAAAAGGAAGGGAAAAGAAAAAAAAAATATGTATGTAAGACAGTTCAGTTAGTTTTTCTACTAATTTCTCTTAGTTTGTTGAGAAGTTTGTGCTAATGTTGTTTGGACAATTAAATGCCGGTATCATGTATTCTGAGCAACTAATTCAAAGAAAGATAATGCACAATATATTAACATTGTTACCTTCTTATTATCTTCTTATGAATTTTTATTCCCTTTAAAATAAAAAAATTAAAGTCTGCTCAGTCTAACTGCAGCTGATGATCTTTGCAGATAATCTGTCGTTATTCTCTTTTTAAATTTTTTTTTTTATTTTAGAGATAGTAAAATATAACAGAACAAGACAAAGCAAAGCCAATCGAGACAATGCAGTGAAACTGGTACAGAACTTCAGGGCAGGGTACCGGGATAACAGTAATAGGTGCCACAGTATATCTCGTTATCTTCACAATAGTCTTCCTTTCAATCAGATATAGCAAAATCAAACCAAAACCAGAATAGTATAAAACCAATCAGACCAGAATATTGAATAGAGCAAAACAATTAATCAGAATAAAGCAAAACAGTAAAAACAATATTGGCCTTCAAAGAGAAGACAGAAGGAAATCCCCCATATTTGCTATATTGCACACAGTCAGCCTCCCAAGAGGTACCCAGACCTCTGGCCCCAGCTCAGCATGACCAACCCAACAGCACCAGCGTCTAGTTGCTGTATATGTCTTGGTTGCTGTCAACTCCGGCTGTCCTCGACACCAGCCAGTTGCTAAGGGAGGGAACACGGGACATTTGATTCTCAGCCCGTGAGTGGGAGACACTGACTTATTTTCTCCCTGGGGCGCCTGGGGCTCAGTCGTGCCCCCACTTACCAGGAAGGATGGCTCCTTGCTTCTTGGTTGGTCCCCGGGTTCTGGCATAGCTGGTTCTTGAGAGACGCTGACTGGTTCCTGTCATTCTGTTTTAGTGTGTGTGTGTGCGTGTGTGTGTTTTCCTGGAGCCTTATGCATGCAAGGGCTCTGCTGCTGAGCCACATCCCATCCTTGTCACTTTTCTTACTGTGTGTCTAGATAAGTCATTTGACTTATAAGTCATCGTAAAGACTTACGCCCGGGTTACTCACAAGGCTATGATGGCCTGGATGTAAACAGAGCTAAGGTATTGCCAGTTACATAAAAATAGAATTCATATTTAGGTGTGGTGGCTCATGCCTGGAGTCCCAGCTACTCAGGACCGGCTCATTTGAAAAAGAAGGGTAGGGGTGCAGCTCAGTAACAGAGCACTTCCCCCCAGCATGTGTGAGGTCGGCTCTCGACACCACACACACACACACACACACACACACACACCCCAGTAGTGCACATTGGGTCAGTGTGGGTCACTCCTGTAATCCCAGCACTTGGGAGGCTGAGGCAGGAGGGCCACATAAAGTTCAGCTCCAGCCTGGGTGACAGAGTAAGTTAAAACCAGCCAGAACTACACAGCACTCTGTATCAAAAACAAAACAAAATGTGTGTCTGTGTTTTCACTGACATTGGGTAACTACCCAGGAGCAGGACGTTTTGGTCTTATAGCAAATATTCTTAATTTTTTTTTTTTTGTCTTTTTCCTTTTTATCGGTACCGGGGATCGAGCTCACAACTGCCTGCTTGCAAGGTAAGTGCTTATGCCGCTGAGCTAAATCTCCAGCCCATAGCAAATATTCTTAAATTTTAAAGAAACTGAAAAATTGTTTTTCTAAGTAGTTCTACTATTTCAAAGTATTGCCAGCAAAGTAAGAGAGTCCCAGGTGCTCCACATCTTCATCAACATTTTATTTTTTTGTAAAACTCACTGTGGAGCCCAAGCTGGCCTCAAACTCAGGGCAACCCGTCTGCCTCAGCCTCCTAAGTGCTGGGATGACAGGTGTGTGCCATCAGCCCTTCTCAATTTGTTTTCTGGTACTTTGTCAGGTTTTATCTATCGTATTTTCTTTTTTCTTGCTGTATTGGGAACTGAACTCGTGACCTTCACACCAGGCTGTGTCCCCAGCCCTATTTCAATTTTCTACTTTGAGAGGAGCTCCCCTAAATTACCCAAACTTGACCTCCACATACTCCACATTTTTAGAAAAAAAAAAAAAAAAAAAAAAAAAAAAAACCTCATTCAGAGTTTGTTTATGTGGTGCTAGGGATAGAATCCAGAGCCTCCTGTCTAGTATCACTGAGCTACACCCACCACTACTCCCACCACCATGTACGTGTGTGAGTGGATGTATGTGTGTGTGTGTGTGTGCGCGTGAGCGTGCACATGTGCATGTGTGTTACTGGAGATTGAATCAGGGTCTTTGCACTGAGCTACCTCCCCAGCCATAAAAAAAGAATTTTTAAATTTTGAGATAGAATCTCACTAAATCACTGTGGCCCAGGCTGGGCCTGAACTTGTGATCCTTCTGACTCAACCTTCTAGAGTGCTAGGACTACAGGGTATGCCACCATTTCCAGCTTTCTCTAGCTCTTTTAAAATTTTATTTAAAATAGGGTTTCAAGGGCTGGGGATTTAGCTTAGTGGCACAAGTGCGTATCTGGCAACTGCAAGGTTATGAGTTCAATCCCCGGTACCTAAATAAAGAATAAATAAAATAAAACAGGGTTTCAGCCGAGTGGTACACACATATAATTCCAGCACTCGGGAGGCAGAGGCAAGAGGATAGCCTCAAATTTGAGGCCAGGTGGGATACATAGTAAGTTCAAGTTCAGAATGAACTGTATACATAGCAAGATCCTGTCTCAAAAAATAGGATTTCATTAAGTGCCCAGAGCACCAAGTTCCCTCAAACTCCTGATTCTTCTGTCCCAAATTCCCAAGTAGCTGGCCTTCCAGGTATGTGCCACCGTGTCCAGCCTGTTTTGTTTTTTGGATTCCAACATGTATATCCTTGTAGATCTAAGACTGTAGTTGTTGATTTTGTGGACTCACTCGTGGTTGTACATTGTACATGATGACTCATGATGGTGAGATCATCCATTAGTGAATTTGATCCAGGACTCCCAAAGGCCTACGTTTGAGATTTTTTACTCCAGAGAGAAGTTTCATCGGTTTCCTTTGAGGAACCAGCAGTTGAAAGTGACCTGAGTGAGAGCCTGAGACTCCTTCAGGAGACCCAGATCGCGGTGAGAGTCCCAGCGCAGTTCCCACACTGCCGAGGCAGCGGCCAGCCCTCAGCATGCACTGCTGAAGGAGATGGAGAGGGGGCATAACCCGGGAGGAGGGACCGAGAGGGCCTGGGAATGCGGAGAAATGTGTGACAGTGACCAACTTAGAGCGCTGGACGGGCTACGGGGGAAGACATGGCAGAGGTAGCACTTGCACCGCCCCTAGAGGACAAGGCTTTCCAGCCTGCAGGGACGGTACAAGTGGTGTCCAAGGTCTCTGTGGGAGGCACAGTGGCTCCAGGAGCTTCACGGGGAAAACTGTGGAGCCTGGTTTTCCTCTGAACACCCAGCATCTGAATCTGGGTGCACCATGGCTGCTCGGGGAATCGCATGAACAGCCGTGCCAGGGAGGGTCACATGGAGACACAGTGTGGCAGAGTCAAGGGACTTGGAAAAGCTGTGAGAAGAAGTCAGGAACAGTGTGAGGAGCCTCTTCTGTCGGCTCAGGACGTGGAGCTGGCCCTGCCTGGCCCTTGCTTTGAAAGTGCTAAAAGAGCAAACCGGGTCTCAGGCTGTAGCCCAGAGGCAGAGCCCTTGCTGAGCATTAAGTGAGACCCTGGGTTCTACCCCACACCAAAACCAGCAAAAACAGTTTATGCTACACTTTTACACACCACTGCTGACATCAAACGTGTAGTATCTCCCAAGGGATTTTCTCTGTAGGTGCCAATAGGGTGTCCTGTGACATAATTTGCTTCTGGTGCTGACCACCAGACCTAGTGCAGACCTCACAGCTCAAGGGTTGGGTCCCACAATCCGCCTCCCACTTTGGACACTGTTGAAAGCCTGGGCCTCCTGTACTTCTTACCGCCCAGCTGTAAATCAGGGGTTCTCATGACCCCACCTTGGGTTTGATAATTTGCTAGAATGGTTCACATAAAGGGTCTTAGAAGCCAAGTACTATGTATGCACTATAATCCCAGCCACTCAGGAGGCTGAGGCAGGAGGATTGCTTGAGCCTTTGAGTTTGAGCACAGGGAACATAGCAAGATCCTATATAATAGATTTTAATTAATTAATTAATTTAAAAATAAAGGACATTACAATGGATACAAATGAACAGCCAAATGGAAGCGATGCCTAGGATGACGTGTAGGGATTTTCTTTTTCTTTTCCTTTCTGGATAAGAAATCAGTACACGTATGGTCTTACCAATCCCCAAACACTCTGAACCCCACTATCTAGGGTTCATGTGGAGCTTCCATTATATAGCCTGATGGTGTAAATCACTGACCATAGCTGGATGCACTGGTGCACACGTAATCCCAGCTACTTGGGAGGATCACAAGTTCAAGGCCAGCCTGGACAACTTCTTTTGACCCTGTCTCAAAATAGGTAAAAAGGAAAGACGATGTAGCTCAGGGGTAGAGCCCTTGCATAGCACCTAAAAAGCCCTTCATTCAGCCCCGAGTACTGGGGAGAAAATTGCTGATTGTTGGTAATGAACTCAATCCCCAGCCCGCACCCCTCCAGACACTGAGGGGTGAAGCTCAAAGCTCAGGGGTAAAAGACTCCACGGCTGGTGTTTCCACACCAGCATGAACTCAGCTACGACGACAGAGGCTTATTCCACAGAACAGCAGACGTTCCCGGCACCACTGTCACTCAGGAGATCCTGAGGGCTGACAGGAACCAGGACAGAGACCAAGTATACGTTTCTTGTTACATCCCGACCTCACAGATGGAGAGGAGGCTGAGGCCGGGCACGCACAGCCTGGGCTTGGGGCCTCAGCCCCCCAGACTCTCCTGCCTCAGCAGGAGTCGGAGGCAGAGGCTCAGTCACACCCCTGTCTTCGGCTGGGAGTTGGGGGACTCCAGGGAATCCCAAGCCTTTAGATTGTGACCCTTCTCAGATACGCTGGAGACATTTCTTGGTGAATGGATGCACCCTGAGACGGTATCCTTAAGTGAAATAAATCAGACATACAAGTGTAAATGCTGCATTGTTACTCTGGTGTGAGAAACCAAAAGCATAAATAATGACCAAAATGTACAAAAGGCATTGCAAAATAGGACAAAATGGGGGCTGAGGATTTAGCTCAGCGGCATAAGCGCCTGCCTTGCAGGCAGTCGTGAGTTCGATCCCTGGTACCGATAAAAAGGAAAAAGACAAAAAAAAAAAAGGAAAGAAAGCTTTTGTAGATGGAGGGGGAGGAGAGGCTGGAGGGAGGGTAGGGCGACGGGGAAATGCGGGATTTGTACCTGTATCATGTACAGGTACAAATTCTCTATGATGAAGGTGATCATTATGTGTAAAAATTTTTTTATCCTTCTCCCTATTTATTTGTTCCTTTTGGAATTAGAGTTCTTCTGCCTTCTGCCGTCCCCACATTTGCTCACAGAGGGTGGTTGCTGGGGGTACCCAACCCCACCATCCGAGCTACCTTTAGGCTGGGATGAGCCATGGAAGCCCAGCTCGGCCACCACTCACTCCAGGTTTTTCCCGAGCCTCTCCCTGCCCTGCGGTCTCATCCATCCTGAAGGGTGAGCACATTCCCTCCTGCAGGGCCAAGTCCTCCTCCAAAGGACAGAGAGCCAGGGAGATAAGCAAATGGCCCCCCCACCTTGGAGACAGGCCCGGGCAGAAGGTTCTGCTGCTATTAGGATCCTCCTTAGAGCCTCCTTCCCTGAATCCCTGGCTTTCCTCCTCCTCTTTATCTGTAACAGCCTTGCAACCAGGGAGGGTACAGCGGGGGCCCGGCTTGTTCTCCTCTGAGCCTCTCTGTGCAGCCATTCCCTCGGCTTGGAAAACTTTTCCAACATTGTCTATTTCTGTCAGGCCTCGCCATGTGCAGGAAGCCTGTCACTAACAGGTCCCAACCTTTCTGCACCCTTGTCATGGTATCGTTGCTCTGGTAGTTTGTCAGTAACTTGTTTGTCTCCCCTGATGGATTCTAAATTCCGAGAACAAGGACTTCATCTGGCCTGGGCACGACACACCTCCTGTCTTCAGGGTGGTGCCTGACTCCTGAGCAAAGTGTTAAACAAGCTTCGTTGAGCACATGAATGAGGTGGAAAGGCATCTCGGTTCAATTGAAGGAAAGGAGATTAAAAAAAAAAATCAAGAGCTCACTTGCTGGAAGAGGTGGAGATAGAAATTACTAAACCTCATCCTACGTGTTCCAGGAAGCCCATCCCTGCCCCTCTTCTAGGTTGGCACTTGTGCCCACATGGGTGGCTCTCCGCAGGCCATTACTAAAATCCTCCTGTTTGTCATCCTACAACTACGCAGAGCCTTGAGACACCTTTTCCAAAGTGCATTTGTCTTAGTAGCTTCTATTTATTTGTTAAAGGTTTCAAACGTTTATTGTTCACCAGGTATGTGGTGCACACCTGTAACTCCAGCACTTGGGAAGCTGAAGCAGGAGGATCACTGCGAGTTCAAGGCCAGCCTGGGCCACATAATGAGTTCCAGTCCAGCTTGAATCGCAGAAGGAGACCCTGTGTCAAAAATCCAAAACAAAATGAAACGTCTATTGTTGACTCAGTATGGATCACAGAGGAAGAATAAGATGCTGGTTAAGCACCTTCACTGGCTATACAGCCAGTGCCACTTTTTAGCTTGATCTAGTGGGATACTTCTGACCAGGATAAAGAAGCTATCATCTGGTGACCTCTGAGGAAGTAAATACGCTACAACTATGTGCAAATCCTGAGTCCCAGCTTGGTCCTCCTCCAGTGTCTCCTCTTGGAGCTGGACCTGATTTTTTTATCAGTCTCCCTTCGAATCCACTGAGAAATGGGACGATTCTGCTTTTGCTTCTTGGGCAGGAATTGCTTGGTTCTGGAAGTTCGTGAGAAGACGTAGTCAGACTTGGACACACACACGATGCCAGGCGGGAGCAGAACCTAGGTCGATTTTAGAACCACTGCACACTCCCTTCTGCGTACCCCAAATGGTGACTCTCATATCCCTTCAAGCTTACCTGAAATGGACCTAAAAGCCTTTGCTGCCTTCACGGTAGCTGAGACCTCAGCTCCTGAGTCCGCCTGCCTGAGTCTCAATTCCAGAGTTACCTTTACCAGGCTCCGAGGCTGAGCAAATGACTTCATGTTGTGAATCCTCCACTTCCTCCTCAGGATAAACCTTCTAAGAGTGTCGGCCTGATGGGATTATTGGAGGATTAACTGTGTCTACTGTGTGGTAGCCAAGTCTCCAAAATACTTCCTTGGAAGTCCCCTCCTGGTGCTCACCCTGCAATACAGTCCCTTCCCACAGTAGATGGGGTTCCTCCGGATGATTGATGGAATACTGCAAACGAGATGGCGACTTTCAAGCTTAGCCAGAAAGTATGGCCTCTGTCTTGTGCTTTTTTTTTTTTTTTTTTTTTTGTCTTTTTCCTTTTCATCGGTACCAGGGATTGAACTCACAACTGCCTGCTTGCAAGGCAGGTGCTTATGCCGCTGAGCTAAAAATCCCCAGCCCCCTGTCTTGCGCTCTTGAATTGCTGCCTCTGAGGAAAGCCAGCCACCATGTCACAAGGCTACTTAAGTAGCCTTTTGAAAAGCTCCAGTTGTCAAGGAGCTGCATCCTCTTTCCAACATCCAAAGCCAACTTGCCAGGCTTGCAAGGGTGTTATTTTGGGAGGCCATCCTTCACCCCCAGTGAGATCTCAGATTTCTGCAGCCCTAACAGCTTGAGAGGTCCTGAGCTACAGCCATCCAGCTTAGTGGCTCCCAAGTTTCTTTTTGTTCCAGGAATCAAACTGAGGACCTTGCACCCGCCAGGCACAGGTACTCAGATGCCACTGAGCTACAACCCGGTCCGCAGTTTGTTCTGACATACAATAAGCGTACAGTGGAGGAGGTATCATGTGACAAAACGTGTAAGTGTGAGTAATAACCAGGTCAGAGTCACCAGCATTTCTACCTCCTTGAACATTTCTCATTTCCTGGTCGGAGGTTTGAAACCCTTTTAGTCTGTGTGAACTGGGGTCACCCTGATGAATTTGGGTTTTTTTGGTCTTTTTCCTTTTTATCGGTACCAGGGATCGAACTCATGACTGACTGCTTACAAGACAGGCGCTTATGCCGCTGAGCTAAATCCCCAGCCCCGATGAATTTGTTTTTGAGACAGGGTCTCCCTGCATCATTCAGGCTGCCCTTGAACTGACCGTGTAGTTCAGGCCAGCCTTGAGCTCACTGTGGAGCCCAGCGGGCGTGGAACTCACGGTGAGCCTCTTACGTCCGCCTCCTAAATACTGGGATCACAGGTGTAATCGCAGCCCTACTCACCGCAGAACAGTAGATCTTAGTTCCATACAACTGTAGCTCGCTCTGGAATTCCAGTTCCTATAAGTTGAAAGAGTGTGCTTTTGTTGTAAGCCACTGGGTTTAAACAAGTGGAACTGTGGGTAATACGGTGCACAAATGTTTCCAGTTGTCATGACATGTTGTCTTCACACAAGTAAGCCATCATTAAGCCCATCTTACAGGTGGAGTTACCAAACGATGTGCTTGATATACGCATCGAGAAGGCAGCAGGTCACGAGCTCTGGACATTCCTTGGGCAGTCCTAGGCTCCTTCTTCTGCCCACTGTTCCTCTTAGCTGTTGTTAAGGGAATCATACCTAGTGGCACAAAACGATTGCATTACATACCTGAAGTTTATGAGCCAGGAATTCCAATAGGCCAGTGGAGTTGATTTGCCCCTGCTCTGTGACATCTGGGCCTTATTTGGAAAACTGAAGGTTTGGGGATTATCTGACAGCTGCGGGGTGGGGGGACAGGCAGGGCTGTCGCACCATCCTGTCTGGTAGCAGGACTTGGCCTCTCTCTGAAGCTTTTCCATGAAGATTCTTCCTGAAGCTGAGCCTCTTTGTAGATGATGACCAAGTTCTGAAGTGAGTGTCCCAGAGGCTACGGTGGAAGGTGCCAGCCAGCTCCTTCAGGCACGGGCCCAGAGAGTGGCATAGGGTCATCTCTGCACTGCTTTATTGGTCGGCCTGTTACACAGTTCAGATCGAAGGGAAGGATGCACGGACCCTACCCCACCATGACAGCGTGTCAAAGAGTTTGGGAGCCATCTTTTAAAACCACCTCTTAAAAACACCCACAACGAGGGGCTGGGGATTTAGCTCAGCGGCATAAGCGCCCGCCTTGCAAGCAGGCAGTCGTGAGTTCGATCCCTGGTACCGATAAACAGAAAAAAGACAAAAACAAAAAAACCCAAAACACCCACAACAGCCTCCCTGTTTGGTGAAGGGCTCAGAAAGGCCAGTCCTTCCCCTTAGTTCACATTCCAGCAGCCAAACTCTTAGATGCATAGAAAAGACACACAAACTGGGAGTGTAGCCCAGGCGTAGTGTTTGCCCTGTACACATGAAGGCCTGACCTGCAACACAAAAAGAAAAAGTGGAAAAGCGGCACAAATGCCAGCTGTCTCCCATGTCACCTTTTCAAGAAGAGCCTACTAGAAGAACATTCATCCGAGAGCCCTGTGGCCTGGTGTCTATGAGTGCCAGGCACAGGAAATGAAGCCCACAAACCACTGGACAGTGGTTTCATAGGGCACTGTGTTGTCTACAGGCAAAGAAAAACACTTTGCTGTAACCGGTGCCACAGCCGACACCTGCTTAAAGGAGGGACTCTGCTCTGCTGGGGCACCAAGCTGCTTTTCAGAAGAGGCAACAATGTCTCAGTCAGATCAGAAGGGCCTCCCAGGTAGGGGGTGATTCAGGTGTGGCTTGCAGAGTGAGAGAGTTGCAGGGACTCGTGAGCACCAGATTCCAAGAAGAATTACAAAGGTGCATCACGTGGCCTTGTGGACATCAGGGAAGAGAAAGGAAGGTGCTGTGCATAATTACAGCTGGCGCTGCTGGGAAGCTTGAGAGCACCCACAGAGAGTCACGGCGTTGGGACGTATGTTTGGCCACGTGGAGTCTGAGGTGCACACGTGTGGGCGTGTGAGTGGAGATTCCAGTTAGATCTGTGTTTGCGTCGCTCTGACCTGAGGAGCAGTTCACACACACAGAGGTGGCTGATGGAGAGCGTGAACGTCAGGGTAGAGTCGCCAGGTCTACACTGTAGGCAAGGAGCAGCTGGAGAAGGGCTTCAAACCTGAGATGAGGGCAGGCACTTAACGAACCTCCATTTTGTTATGCCCAGCCCCAAGCGATTTACGTGAATTTCTCTGGACTTTGCAACAATTGTATTAAGGCAAATGCTACTACATTTCATCGATTTAGGGTATCGATTACAGAACATACTATTATTTTATGTATTGCTAAGAAAAAAATACCCCCCAATTAAATCATGGCGTACTTTATATTTAAAGCACATTCTGGTTTTACGGTTATTAAAATGCAAAAAGAGTCAGGTGTGGTGGGACACACCTATAATCCCAGCACTCAGGAGACTGAAGCAGGAGGGTCACTACAGGTTCAAGGCCAATCTGGGTTGCATAGTGACCTCAAGGTCAGTTAAATACACACACACACACACACACACACACACACACACACACACACACACTAAAAGAAAAAAAAAGGATGCCAAAAAAGGCCATGAAATCAAAGACAGATATTATCTGTCCATAAAAGAGCAGGCTAAGCATGGTGGTAATGCCCTTGTTAATCCCAGCTAATTGGGAGGCTGAGACGGATAGAAATTTTGATCTGAATCTGAACAAGTTTTTGAGATCTTGTCTCAAGATAAAAGTAAAAATGGGTTGGAATGCAGCTCAGTGGTACTCCAGAGGGCTTGCCTAACAGGCACAGGAGCTGGGTTCCCGTTGTAATGCCAGGGATATGGGCGGGGGAGAAGTTACGCTGGAGCTGAGGCTGTGTAGCTCAGTGGTAGGTGCTTGCCTAGCAAAGCTCTGGGTTTGCTCTTCAGCACAACAAATAAGGAAACCTGTTCAGATAGATTCAATAAGTTGCCCAAGGTCCAATAAGAGACACAGCCAGGATTTGAAACCCAACACCTCAACTTCAAAACTCAAGTTCTTATTGAAGCTATTGAGCTAAAGCTCACCAGCACAGCACCTGCCTGGCAAGTGCAAGATCCTGAGTTTAATTCCCAGTACAAAAAAAAAAAACAAACAAAAACCCACCCGAGGTCTTAGCCATTGTGTGGCCCTAGCAGGCGGGCTGTGAGCTATGCGGAGTTTTTGGAGGACCAGTGTGGCTCTGAGGGGGACGTGTATTTGAGAGGGGCCAGGCAGTGTATAGGGGGACTTGAGTCCACTGTGAGGGTTGGGGACGAAGGGCGGGAGAAGGAGACCCTCCATGTGGGCATGAAAATAAGAAAAATTCAAAATGTCGAGCCCTGGCTAAATAAGTAAGAAAATAAACAAATACAAACAAAAACCAAACGCCGAGCCCAGAAAGGGAAAGCACAGGAGAGCACTAGGCAGCTGCTGCAGCTCCCGGGACCCGTCTGCTGGGCAGTCAGGAAGCGAGGCTCCTCAGCCTGCGCCGGGCAGTGCTGATACCCTGTATGTCAGTTAGACGAATAAAGGGGCTGCATGATCTTGTGTGATCTGGGTCTTATACTTCACGTGTCAAATTTTAAAATTTTCTAGGCTAGGTGAGCGCTACGTCCTGAACTGAACCTTGGGGTTGACGACAGCCTCTCTTCACATTCCATCTCCAACCCACCAAACCAAAATCTCTCCATGGACGGAAGATGAATACCAGGTTTCTCAACCACTAATTATTGACATTGAGGCAGGTTAAAGGTTTTTTCCTTTTTGAGATTTTGTTTGTTTGTTTGTTTGTTTCGTTTTGTACCGGGGATTGAACTCACAACCTTGCAGGTGCCAAACAGGCACTTATGCCACTGAGCTAACCCGGCCCCAGGTTAATTTTTTGTTGTGAGGAGTTTCTGTGCATTGTCAAATGTTAACAGCCTCCTTGTCTCTTCTCACAAAATGCTGGTAGCACAGTCTCCCAAGCAAAACAATACAAAACGTCTCCAGCCATTGCTAAATGTTTACCAGGTGCTAAATCGCCCTGATTTGAATCCCTGAGCCACACTGAGAGCCTCCAGTGCCCTGCCACCTCCCCGGTGCAGACAGAGGCCAAGCAGAGATGGAGGGCATTGAACAGCACTTTTACCCGGGTCCAGCAGGAGGGAAGCCTCTGTAGGCCAGGGCTGCACAGTGTTAACACAATGGGCCGATGCATGCCAGCGGCTGACTGATGTGGTCTCACCCGAGCAGGAGGGAGTTTTCCAGAACTCTTATTCCCGGATTCAAAATCAGCCCCGGGAGGCCTAGAGGCGATTCTGGGGCAGACGCCCCGATGTCTGGGAATGGCAGAGGGGGTGAGGGAGTGGGGTGATGCATGCAGGGGATTCTTTCCTTGTGTAGATAATTTCCTGGCATCACCCACTGCTCTGTCTGAGTGGCGGAGGGCCAGGGGGGAGGAACTTTCCAGACAAGGGTGCCTGGGTTCTTGGAGGGCATTTGATGCTGGACTGATCTTGGGACATCTAGGTTGAAGGCTCTGGAAGACTGAGTCTTTGGGGGCAGGGCTAAGGGACAGCTGATTCGCCAAAGGATGTGGACATTGTGTATACCCAGTCCTTAAGTTCCTTCACAAGTTGCCTTTGGCTTGGAGTTTGCGGTTCCTGAGGGAAGAGAGGATAGGGCCCAGCTGAAGTCCAGGAAGGGGGCTGGGAGAAGCGACAGCGGGTGGCATTGGAGAGTCCTGCCCTCCATCCGGCAACTCACTCCACCAGGAGGCTCAGGGCACCCAGAAGCAGGAAAGAGCCAGAGACAGAGAAGAGCAGGATCCTGGCTTGCCACAGATCGTGACTTCCTGCAGGGAACGCAGAAGGCCGTGGATGAGCCCGGCGGCCACAGTGCCAAGCCAAAGGCCCTGGGTCTGGGCAGGGCGGGGCAGAGGTCGCAGTCAGCACCTGGCAGGCAGCGTTTTCGGGGCCAGCAGGACACCTCGGTGCCCCGGCAGGTGGAGCAGTTGTACAGGATGGTGCTGCCCCCTGCAGGAGACGGAAGGAGGGAGCAGGCGGGGAAACCGAGGCTTCCGCCCTCTCCTAGCTGCCCGCTCCCAAGCCCCACGTCCTCGCCCCCCTTGATTTTTCTACTCACGGCAGGCAGGGGCACAGAGAGCTGAAACGAAGGACAAGGAGGGGATGGGGGCGGGCGAGCCGCTCAGCCACACCCCACTTCGCCCCAGATCCTACTCACTCCCCGTGCCCTGCCGGCCCGCACCTTCCCTGGTGTACTGCGGGATCTTGGTCATCTGCAGCCACTGCCAGTACGCAGGGAGCGAGGAGAAGGAGCCTTTGATCTCTGGGAGGCAGAATGCAGATTTTGGTTCTTTTTTTCTTTTTTTTTTTTTTTGGTACCTGGAATTGAACTCACGACTGCGCGCATGCGGCTGAGCTAAATCCCCAGCCCCTAGAGTGCAGATTTATATCTCGGGGTCTCAACAGTGCCAGGTCACCCCGCCTCCCTCCAGCCCTTTCCTGACAAGCCCCCCAGTCTCCACCTGTGCTCTGCCCTCCCTGCATCCCACTCCCTGTACCCCCTCAAACCCTTAGAGTTCACCTTCCCTTTGACCTCACCCATGACCCTCAGGACTCTGTGAGTCTTCTCTGTGATTCTGTTCATTGTCACCTCATCTGTGGAGATGGGCAAGAATTTCCTTCTGGGCAATGTCTTAGTTTCTTGAGATGGGGAGTTACCCCAGAGGGAGAGGCCAGTGTGTTCAGAGAGGAATGTGGACTGAGGAAATCACATGCCTCTGCCCTTGGAGGGTGGGGGTGACCACTGTGGGCCTGCTCCTGGGTGGCGGTCTTACCTAAGGCAAAGGCTGAAAAGTCTGGAGAGACCCATTCCTTCCACTGGGTCTCCAACTGAGCCAGGCGGCCTGGCAAGTCATGGGCTGGGAGCCGGCAAAAGATGCAGGCCTGGGAGGCTGCCAGGAAAACCCCGCCTAGTATCAGTGCCCACATAAAGCCTGCTGGGGGGCGGAAGGGGAGCTGGTCCACCTGGACTGGAAAGCCTTCAGAGCGCTGTGTGACTGGGTTCCAGCCCTTTGCCCAGGAGGTTCTTGAATATTCTGGAACAGTTGGAATTTCTAGAGTGTTCCAGAACAATGCCACCGCTCCATCTAAGGCTGAGTTTCAGAACTCAGAAGAAGACATTTCTGAAAAGGTATAGAAAACAGAGGCTCTGTTGCAAGGGGGATGGGGTCCCTACAAGTGTGTAGCTCAGAAAGCACTTTTATTTTTCTTCTTATGACAGTCAGTGATAAATAATGAGAATTCCCCTTCAGTGAAGAAATCATGCATGTGCATCCCATCCACTCAGGAACTCAGAGATTCCATCCATTCCCAGATCCTCCCCCACGCTCCCAAACTCTTTGCCTCTTCTGTGTGCCCAGGGCAGCCTTGGGCCTTCCCCCAGCTATCTCCTAGCAACAGGCCCATGGTTGCTGGGGCAACCAAGCATTCTCTACAGGTCTCAGAGGCCCAGCTAGGCCCAGTGACTTCTTTTACTTCTCACAGGAAGATCTTAGTGACTCACAGACAAATAGGCCCCTCCTGCCTACACGGTGATTCAGGCACATACACACATGCACGCATACACACACACCCTATGATTAAACTAAATCTTAATCTACTTACATTCACACCACAGATAAACCCGGCCAGAAGAGTTGCTGGGCAACGTCAAACACGCCTGGACATGCAGGGACCACACAAGGACCATCACGTAGACACTGTAGTCAGTGGTTGCTAAGGACCCACACATTAGTCAGACACTGGCTGACATGCACACACCTATGAAGGCCATGAAAAAGAAACCAGCTTCTCCCTGTAGTAAACTCTACCTTCAAAATAGGGACACTTCAGGGGCCTTGTTCCTACCTCCCATATGTCAACCTATGGAGGTCTTGCTGTCACCCTCAGTAGGTGGCTTGAGACACCAACAACCTCCCTTTCTGTGTTCCAGAGAGTTCTGGGGTCTCTTTGGCCACACCAAGCCATTCAGCTCCAAGAGGAAAAGCCTCAGTCCAGGAGACCCCACATCAAGGTAATTCAAATTATCCCCTTTCCCTCAGATCTCAGTGTCTGTCCAGGGTTTTGCCCAGGTCTAGGCTGGGCAGAGATGTGTTTCCCACTTTTGTAGACCTCTGAATACTGAGCTTCAACAGAGATACTGGAGGTCTCTAGCCTCAAGTAAGAACAAACCAAGAGAATCTTCCCTGCCCCACCCCACCGCAGAATAACACCAGTCCAGACCCCTTGGATCACTTGTGAGCCCTCAGTAAACTCAGGTTTTGGAATTCCAACCCACGTCTGGGCTCCAGTCAGGTGCAGTGGGCCCCCCCGACCCTCAGAGCTTCCACACTAGAGCTAGAAAGAGGCTTTAGGGGGAGTCCTTACCCCCACCAACTGCCCCATTGGGTCTCTTCCCCACAAGCAGCTGAGCGCCACATCCTCAACACCGCACAAAGCGCAGAGATCGGGAGTTGAGCAGGTCTTCAGGGTCAGGGAAGACAGAGTCCAGGCGGAAGCCGTGCTCCAGAGCCACGCGAAGAACCTCCTCCAGGAAACTTGGTGTCCCCATCACCTCGCGCCGCTCTCCTGGCCCTCCAGTCCACAAGGGCTGCAGGCCCAGTCTCTCATACTCCACCTCGGGGAGCTCTGTGGGGCGAGGGGCCCACTCCAGGTGAAAATGTGGGCCCCCCTCTGCCCTGTCCCCGTTGGCCACACCAAATCGGGCCTTCATGGCAGCCAGACACTCTGGGTCAGTGCAGAAGAGATTGGCTCTGAAGGTGTCCACCTGGACAGAGCTCAACTCATAGTGGTGCGGGCCCCTGCGAGCAGAGAAGTGTACCAGGCGGGGGCTGGCATCCACATCTGCGTGAAGCAGGGCAGCTGTGGGTGCAGGTGTCCCCCGAGAGGCCTCCAGTTCTCTCAGGGCATCCAGGAGTGGCCTGATCTGGTAGAAGTCAGCTTCTGCCTTGAGAAGTGCTGTCTCTCCATACCCAAGGGGCAGGTCCAGTCTGCCCAGTCGCAGGAAATTGAGGATGTGGCGGAAGGCCTTGCCATCGCGGTCGATGAAGTAGTGGCCACCTCCTTGAGGGTTGCCATTGGCAGATATGGGAGTACCAGCTCTAAACATGGCCCCCAGCATGGAGTCTGGGAAGCGAGTCAGGGTCTCCAAAGTGGTGGAATACAGTGTGCCCCCCACATTCAGGGTCACGGGGCCCCCAAAGGAGGGGGGCGAAGAGGGCACAGGAGGAGGGGAAATTTTGGGGAGTACAGGAGACAAGGAAAGAGAAAGAAAGGCAGGACTTCCGGATGTGTGCAAGATTAGATGGTATGGTTCAGAATTGCTGGTTTGGAGGCACAGGTTGGAGGACAGGTCAGCAAGTTTGTAGCTCGCCCCACGTATTTTGGTGGTGAGGTGAGAATTCTGGACACAGAAATCGCTGCAAGGTTGAGAGAACAGATGAAAAGAGCAGAGGGCCGCCAAAAAGGGGAAGGGAGCCTTCAGTCCAGACGTATCCAGTTCTGGGTGGTCAGCGATTTCCTTTCTGTGGTCTTCAGACAGTGGGTTTCCGGAATTCAACCAGCAGGTGACGGTGGTGAGCAGAGACCCGACTCTGCGGGGCCTAGATTCTGAGTCTCTAGGAAGTTCACTGTCCCTGTGGGCGAGTCCACGCAGTGCTCTAGGGGTCAGTGAGAGGCCCGGCCAGGCTCCAGGCTCCGGCCCCAGAAGACCGACCGGAGCTGATGGGAGCAGATGACTAGCCGCGCAGTGTCTGCAGCGGGGCACCGATGCGCACTCAGCCCGAGCTGGCAGCGTCCGAAGGCTCAGATGGAAGCAGCCAGGAGTCTCGGAACTTGGGCGTCGCTGCCTTCCCGGGATGTTCGTGGAGGGAGAGCGCAGAGGTCTCCTCGGTCCCCAGGAAATGTCCAACGGGCAGCTGCTGGGGCCCTTTAAGGGGCAGCCCCGCCCCCTGGCGCCCCGCCCAGCCCCCGTCGGGCCAGCGGCGGGGTGGAGGTGGGAGCCGGAGCCCTCCGGAGGGACAGGGCCGACTGGATGGGCGAGCGGACACGAGCGGAGTGGGGTGACTCATGCGCATCTTTCCAGATGTGGCCGCGACAGCCCCGGGGTCCTCCGGGTTGTGCCGGGCCTCACGTCTGCAACCCAGCCCGCCGCTCGGAGAAGACGAAGGCCCCGCCGGCGCGGTCCGGGGACCACGTCCCTGCGGGTGGCTCCCGGGGAATGCCCGAGGGGGCGGCTGCTGAGCCACCGCATTCCGGGGATACCTCTCCGCCCGGGTGGCCGGCGCGCTCCTGGCGCGCGGCGCCACCGCCCCGCCCCGCCCCGCTGGACGGGTCCGGCCGCGTTGCCGCCCGAGTCTGACAGTCGCCCCCTCGAGACTCGAGCCCTGAAACGCCCAGCCGCTCCCTGCAGCCCGGAAGCCACAGCGCCCAGCACCCTGCCGGGCCCGAAGGTGGCGCCAATAAAGTGAACCACGAAGGGAAAGGCGGCACCGAGGCTTTAATGGCGAAGGTGGGGGGGAAGGACGGGTCAGAGCGTGTAGAGGTCGTGGCTTCGCCGGCTCAGCTTCTCCGGGTCGTCGGACGCCATGAGGGAGAAGTCGCGGAAGATGTCCAGATAGGTCTCATCTCCTGCAGGGAGGGAGCAAGCGCTGCCGCCCGACCCGGACCCCGGCGGAGCGGAAGCGCACGCGGCTGCCGGCCAGCGGCGGCGTGGGCGGACCGGAGCTTGAGGCCAGGGCGCAGCGCCCGCCTTGTCTTTGCCCCGAGGCCCTGGCTTGTCGGATGCGTGCAATGATACACATACACGTATACTCGTTGAATAAATAATGGAGGGAAGCAGGGAGACCTTGATAATGGGCACGAGGGGGACAGCTGGGCACAAAAGGGGCAGGTCACCAAGGGCCAGAAGCCCAGAATTTCAGTATTGGGTCTGGGAAGTGGGGTGGGTGAACACTTTACCTGCCTGACCCTGGGCAGCTTCGGCCTCCCTCATCTTTGCCAATCGCAGCCTGCAAGGAGAGGATTAGGCATAAACCTCGTGCTCCCCACTCCGGCCCCCCCAGCTTCACTCCACTCCGTGTTTCATTCCCCTCTCTCTCCAGTGTCTGCGAACTTAACTCACAGCATGAGCACCCACCCATGACCCTGCCTGTGTGCTTCTCTTCCGCCAGTTCCGGGCTCTGGTACCCCTGCCTGGGCCCCAAACCAGGCACTGTGCAGGGGTGGCGTTAACCCCACCCAGGAAGGATAATCCAAGCACCAGTCACACCCTTAGGGATCCTCACAGGGTGACGATGTCAGCGTTGGCTGTTTCCATGGCGATAGTCAGAGGGTCTCTGCCTTCAGAGTCTTGGGCCCCCAAATCAGCCCCCCGTTTCAGGAACAGGCAGGCGAGCCTGCAGGGGATAACCATGTTCAGCACACATCCCCAGTCTTCATGCCCTTGGAGCTTTCCTCCCGAGACCCTCAGTCCCACTGCCCCTACCCAGTGTGGCCGAGAATGGTTGCATGGTGGAGTGGACCCCGGCCCTGACTGTCTGCTTGGTTCACATTCGCGCCGTTCTGGAGAAGGAACTCACAAGCCAGAAGGGAATTCTGCATGGGGAAGGCAAGGAGGTGACATCTTTAGAAGTGGATTTCAAGATGTTTTAGTATGGAGTTTTTCAGGGACTGTGGAGTTGTGGGGCCCAGGAGCTGGGGGACATAGTAGAGGAAAAGGTTTGATGCTGGTCCTTTTTTTGGAGGGAGGGTACCGGAAATCGAACTCAGAATCTCACACTTGCCAGGCAGGCACTGCACCACTGAGCTAAATCCCCAGCGTGGTTCTTTTTTTGAACATGGTCATGCTATATTGCACAGGCCGGCCTTAAAATCACATCTTCTAAACTCAGCTTTTGAAGTAGCTGGGTTACAGACCAGTGCCATTGTGACCAGGTGACTCCAGCTCTTCATAGGTACTCATACAGTAAATCCATCATACAAGGGCCAGCACTATATAGCCCGGCAGTGCAAGTGCCTGCTTAGCAAGTGTAGGGTTGTGAGTTTGATCCCCAGAACAACAACAACAACAACAAAAAAAAGCAAGAAAGAACAAAAAAGAAAAGTTCATGGTGCAGCTTTACAAGGTAAGCTAGCCCTATTTTACAGATGAGTCAGTTCAGAAAAGTCTCTTGGGATAAGAGCCTGGATTCAAACTCAGATTTGTGCTCCTGAGTCACACTCCTAGCAGCTAGTGGACATTGCTCATCTTTCCATGGAGTGGGGACCCCAAAGAACAGCAGGAGTGAAGGGGAGGGCTGGATCCAAACTCAAGAGAAGTTAGCAGGAGGCCGAAGGTGAGGAGGTGGGGTGGGGGTCAGCGCGGTTCTCACAGCAGCTGTGGCCTGGATCAGCGGCGTGGCATTCTCCTGACCCGCGTTGACCCAGTTGACATCAGCTCCATGGGCAAGGGCATCGGCCATGGTGGGAAGGGATGGAGGATGCCCAGCGGCTCGGAACAGTAGGGCCCCAGGGTGCAGACTTCCCAGGTCCTCAGAAGGGGGCTCTGTGGAGGAGATTTGGTACTATCAGGCAGGCTCAGTGGTGAGTTTGGGAGCACCCGCAGCACTGTCCCCCGATGTTGCAGTAGGCTGGCTCACCACCTATTAAACCTTCATGACTCAGGCGTGGGTGAAAGGTGCAGTCGTGTACCTGTGAGTATGTATGTGTGGGGCCCCGGGATATGGAGGGCAGACAGCATTATTCACCCCCTCCTTTCCACATACTCTGACCGGCTGGATGTCACAGGGGAGCCGGCTCACTGACAGCCCGGCACACCTCCTCCCGAGGTCCGGCCCTCCTCCCTCCAGGGCCTTGAGGTCCCCAACTTCCAGCCTCTCCTCATGCAACCTTACAAATTCCACCCTGCCCATTTCCTCACCCATGCTCTTCCTGTGCTAGTGCCACCGTGTCCCCTCAAAACTAAGTCTGGTCCCTCCAGCATCCCCCTTCCCCAAGGGAAGGCCTGGGCCTCACAGTCTGCCTCCCTACAGGGCCCAGCATAGTGCTGAGCACACAGCAGACACTGAAGACTCAAGCAACCATATACCTGGCTTAGGTCTGATGCTCCCTGGCCGGGGCTTGATGGAAGGCTTTGGGGGAACAGGGGGGTGCCCCCTTGGGGCCCCCCTGCCACCTCTTCGCCCTTGAATCTCAGGAAGCTTGGTCAGAAACTTCTTCTCCACATATTTGGCATGAATCCATGCCTCCTTTTCCTGCCTGGAGGAGAAGGGATAAGCAGACACCTTTGGCCACCCCAGCCCTTCCCGGAGGAGACCCCCAGCCCCCTCCCCAACCTCACCGGGAGCAGCTGGGCCCTGGTTTCTTCACTGCCATGGCCTCCACACGGGCCTCGTAGATCTGGTTGATGATGACATTTCCCAGCTCACACATAAGCTTAAAGAGTCCCAGGCAGAGGCAGAGACAGAAGCAGGCGAAGCAGGGTGAGTGTCTGTGCCCTACGGACTCCTCAGCCCTCCGACCTCACCCAGTCTTCACGATACCCCACATTACCTTCACTAGTTCCGGCTCCCAAGAGTCAAGGGTCAGGGACCGGACTTTGGAGAAATGAACACCCAGGCTCCTGGAGGGCCAGAGCGGGAGTCATGCACTCTGTGGGCAGTGGCTCAGGGAGGCTGCTACTGGCCCTGGGAAGACTGCGAGGCAGGGCCTGCGTGGGGCTGTGCAATGGAGCAGGGCCAGAGGCAGGCAGCTGGGCCGTGTCACTCCGAGATGGTTCTAGGAGGGTCCTGCCCTTCACCATTCCTCCCTCCCCATGTTTCTCCGTGAGACTCTCATCCTTTTTAGCTGTGTTTCTCTCATGGCACACTACCTTGTCAGGCCTTTCCATGCCATTCCCGTCCCCTCCCTGCACCACACTGACAAAGCCTGCTAAGACCTCACCACCACGCCTGTCATGGTGGTTGGCTCCTCTGCCCTCAGCAGCATTTACCCCGTACCTTCCCCGTAACTTCCTCAGAAGTCCCCAGGCCTGGGAAGACCAGGACACCTCATGTCCACAGGCTTGCCTCAGGCCTCATACCCAGGGACCGAGCCAGAATTTAAGAGAGGGAGCCAGGGCAGAGGAGAGGAGAGGAGAGGAGAGGGGCCTGAGTGATAGGCAGGGAGCCAAACCACCGGCAGAAGCAGCAGACCTCATACTTGGGGACTTGGGTAATGACCTGTGGATGCCGGAGCACTCAATGCAGAGGGTGACACCAAGGTTGATGCTGGCCCACTCTGGGGCTGGCTCCCGGCAGTCGCAGCACTGGGCATTGCCATCTACGCTCTGCACCTGGGCTGCCACATGCCCGACTGTCCTAGGTTCCTTCCCCCTGGCTGTCCCGCCACTGCCTGGGGCAGAAGCAGAGCCCAGGGTCAGATGTCCTGAGCTCTGGAGGAGGGGGAAAGAAAGGGTGGTCAGGGGCCTTGGATAAGGCCAGCCTCATCTCCCAGGGCAGCCCAGCCCTGCAGCCCCGAGTTGAGGTACCTGGCCTGGGCCTCTGGGGCTGTCATCAAGGGGAGCCTGGCTGAAGGCCGAGGCGATGCTGCTCTGCACAGCGCTGACCCACAGCTGCAGGAGGCGCTCAGAGTCAGCCTGGAGCAGACAGGACCTGAGTGGGGCGGGGTGACAGAGGAGGGCAGCTAAGGCCTGGCGATCCACGAGGCGCGGCAGACAGACTGACATGCAGCTGGTGTACTGAAATTCAGCTGGTCCTCGACTTACGATGTCTGACTTAACATCTTTTGACTTTATGATGGTGTAGAACCCACATAACAATTGTGATTTTCATTTTCAGTACAGTGTTCAATATAATATGAGGTATTTAATACTTTGTTATAAAATAGCTTTGAGTTAGATCCTGTTCACGTATAGGCTAAAGTAGGTGTTCTGAGTACACTTAAAGTGGGTTAGGGCTGGGCATGGTGGCACATGCCTGTAATCCCAGCACTCAGGAGGCTGAGGCAGGAGGATTGCTGTGAGTTTGAGGCCAGCCTTGGCTACGTGGTGAGTCCAAAGCCAGGCTGAGGGGCTGGGGATTTAGCTCACATAAGCTTGCATAAGCACCTGCCTTGCAAGCAGGTGGTTGTGAGTTAGATCCCCGGTACCAATAAAAAAAAAAAAAAAAGACAAAGCCAGGCTGAAGTGCATAGTAATACCCTGTCTCCCCCACCCCCCGAAAACCATTTTCAACAGTATATTTTCAAATTACAATGGGTGTATCTGGATGTAATTCCATCACAAGCAAGGGAGATCTGTACTTGTAAATCAGTTGGTAACACCCTTCTAAATAGCTCCCTCATCCTGCCTTCCCTCAGGGAGCTCTCTGGTTTTTATTCCAGCCACCTCGAGGTCAAGACCTAGAGCCGCAAGGGCAGTCGGTGTTGTGGGGGTCCTGCCTTAGGGTCCCTGAGTATGCAGAGGAGCATTACCCCTGGGGTCTGTACTCACTTGCTGGTGGACACCACCTCAAAGCAGAACCGCCTTTCTGAGTCGGGGCAGAGCTTCACTGTGCAGAGGCGAAGGTCATCCACCACCACGGTCACAGGGTCCTGACGGGTGGCATAACGGGGCTGATGCTCAGCCACAGGTGAGGACTCAGTCTGCCTGGGCCCGCAGCCCAGACCTGGTTCTACCCACCTTGTACCTCTTCTGGTAAACCAGTTGGTTGCTCTGAATGGTGAACCAGCGCCTGGAAGAAATGTAACTAGTTATGAACATGGGCAGCACCGGGATGAGGCTTTGGAAGGCACAGTAGGAGGGTCCTGCTGAGATGGATGACAGAGACCTGGGCTGACAGCTCCAGGAGACATCCCAGAGAAGAGCAGATCGTTGGGACTCACAAAGGTTGCTCGCACCTTGAACAATTCAGATTTAAAATATTTATGAAGACAAATTTCTAACAGGTGCCAATGCTTTCTGTTTTTTAATTTTCTTTTGAATAAGCTGGGCATGGTGGTGCACACCTGTCATCCCAGCACTTGGGAGGCTGGGGCTGGGGGGCAGCTCCAAGTTCGAGGTCAGCCTGGTCTATATAGTAAGTTTAAGGCCAGCCTGAACTACATAGCCAGACCCTGTATCAAAAAGTCAGTAGGTTTATTCTATAATTTTTTTTCTCATTGTAGCCTGAGCTTAAGGAGATAGTAGAGGTAAATAGCAGTACAGGTTTAGGTTACGGCTAAGGGATGCCCAGATGCTGGCACACATTATTTCTGAGCGTTTTCAACCATTTTCAACAGCTTAAGGAGATAGTGAGAGTGTTTTTCAGAAGAGATTTGGATTTGAATAGTTACAGTCCTATAACTATAAATTTTCACAGGTAGAAGTGTCTCAGGGAAGAGACTCAGTTTCTCATTTGCACAGGTCCCACATGGGCTGGCCGAAGCTCTAGAAGGGACGGAGTCATATCAGAGCATGTCGCTATCCTGTTCCAAACACTGTAGGTGTTTCCCGTTTCCTCCGTGCACCCCGAGGTCCTACAGAGATCTAGAAAGTCTACGAGCCCCAGGATGGTTCGCACTTAGCTCCTCTGCCTGCTCCCTGCTCTGCCTGCCCCCACGGCCACCTCACCGCTTTTCTCCAGGGATCTCAGGGCCCTAGCCCAGGCTCTTCCTTTTCCTCCCCTAAGTGGCCTTGCAACTGACTCAAAAGTAACCTTTTCATGAGGCCTACTCTGACCCACTGTTTAAAATTGCAGACCTCAAGCCAGGCCTGGCGCTGCACATCTATAATCCTAGCACTCTGCAGACCAAGGCAGGAGGATCACAAATTCAAAGGCAGCATGGGCACCTTAGTGAGACCTTGTATCAATGTAAAAAATAAAAAAAACAGCTGGATACGCAGCTCAATGGTGTAGTACACTGTGTAACTGGGAAGTAAAGGTAGCTACTTCCCAGCACCACAAATAAAAATAAAACCGCAGTCACCACACACCACATCCATTTTTCAGTTTTCTCCCATGTCCTATTATTTTCCAATGCACTATAACAAACTTAGGGGTTTTTTGGTGGGAGGGACAGGGTCTCACCATGAATTTCAGGCCTTCGGGCTAGCCTGGAACTCACTATGTGCCCCAGGCTGGCTTGGAACACGGGCAATGCTCTGCTTCTGCCTCCCAAGTGCTGTGATGGAGGTGTGCACCAGCACACCTAACTGCTTACCTAGTTCTTATGCTACTGTCTGGTTTTGCTGATTGAATGTGGGCTTTGCCTTGCTCTTCCCTCGCACACTGTCACCACTACTAAGAAACCAGTTGGGTGAGTTTAGCTGATCAGTGGCTCCCATCACCTGCTCCAAGTCTTAAATGCATTGCTGGCTCGTTTGAAGAGATGTCCTTCCATGACCAGGCCATTAGGTCCTGCCTTCAGGCTTGGCTCAGGCTCCTCCCCACCCAGCTCCTGTGGACACAAAGGGGCAAAGGGCAGCCGAGGTACTGCGGGCCTGCCTTGCTCCTGCAAGTCCTGCGGGTCCTAACCTTTACCTTCTGTTTCAGCAGCACGTGTCTCTGCTCCATGTCCCTCTTCTCTCGCGCTGAATTCAAGACCAGCTGGTGCAACTGGCATAGGAGGGGTGTGTGAGATGTCCAGGCCTTCTCCCCGCTGGCTGGAGAGGCATCCAGAGCCCCTAACTTCCCTCTACCACCTGTCTGTCCCTTGGGGTCCTACCTGGGCACCCAGCTCCTTGCGATACTGGGCCAGTTGGCTCAGCTCCTCATGGCCCTGTTGGAAATAGACAGCCTGGGCCTCTACCAGACGCAGTACCTAGGGGACAAGGTGGGCAGGTGGCAGGGCTGAGGAAGACGCCTCTCCGCCTCTCCCTCCTGCTCCGTCAGCAGGCTCCTCTCCACCTGACCCTGGCATCCCCCCAACTCACAAATTCCATGATGTCAAATTTCCTCTTGTCTTCTATCACATTAATCTGAAGACCCAAGAAGACCTCAGGTCAGTCTTAAAATCACAGAGCCTCCCTCCCATTACATACTGCAGACTTCCCAGCTTTAGGGTGACACCCAAGCCCCTAATACTCCCAGTGGAGATGCTGAGGAGGTACCTGCAGGGCATAATCCAATGCCCGGCCTCGGTACCCGGCTCGAGCGGTCCTCAGAGCAGCTCCAGCCTCCTCTGCCTCTTGTGTACGGCGCCTAGGGACTTCTGCGTTGTGGCTAAGAGCAGCCTCCAGGCTCTCAGCCCCTCGCCAGAAATCCCGGCGAGCCTCTCGGAAACCTCGAAGACCTCTGGGAGCGGGGAGATAACACAGCATTGCAGATACACCCGCCGGGCCCAGTGGGGCCTCCCAGGACAAGGCCCACCCACACCTTTTCAGTCAGCCTCTGTACAAGGGGAAGCCCAAGGGGATCCGGGGGATGGAAGGATAGAGTCAGGCTACCAGGAACCCCCAACCTCGTAACTTCTTCAATCGGGGAGGCCCCTGCGATAACAGGAAGAGGGATGGTTTCTGGAAACTAAGGCTCCCTTCCCTCCCATCTCACTCCTTGACCAGGGTCTGGATCTGCTGCTGCAGTGTGTGCTGGGTGGCATCAAGAAGTTCCTAAGGGAAGCAGAAGTGGGAGGAAGGGCTCAGGACCGCATCGAATCCTGCTGTCCCCCGTGCCCTCAGTTTACCTCTCCCTACTCACCAAGTGGCTGTCCAGCTTGTGGTTCAGGCTTATGGTGAATTTGTCCAGACACTCCTAGGCCAGAGGAGGCCGAGAGAATAGTACCAGTGTGGGGCGACAGGGCACTCCCAGCTCCAGACCCCACCTGATACGGGCATCTTGGATGACAGCAGCTCCGGCCCTGCTTCTCCTCCACAGCCCTCAGCATACCCTGGTCCAGACCCTCCACATACCGCCATCATGGGCTCTGGTGGACCCAGGTGAGCCAGATCATAAATGCCAGCAATGAATGCACGGCTGGCTGCGAGGTAATGGCGTCCACTTTCCAGGAGTCCGGTTCCCAGCTTGAGGAGCTGGGAAAAAATGAGGGCCATCAGCTACCATACTAGGTGACACCCTCCAGGCAACCCTCTTTTCCTCCCTTGCCCAGGGCCGTGTTTCCCTTTCCCAGCCTTGTCTACCTTCCCCCAACCCACTCCAGCTCTGCCCTACCCCAACACAAACGCTACGTCCTCTGCTTCTTGGCTCCACTGACCTGAACCTGGTACAAAATCCCTGCCCTGGTCTTCGTAGTCTGTTGCCGTCACTGTCCTGTCACTTTTACCATCAAAATGTCTTACTCTGTCCCCTCCCACCTGTCCCTCCCTACCCTGCCTACCTGCTTGGATGAGGGGCTCCCTATAAACTCCAGCTCCTCACTGCATGGCTCACAGTATGGATTCTCTGCACAGCTGGACTCAGTTCTACAGTATTTCTGACCTGGACCATCCATTTCTGTGCTCACTGAACACTCCCCAGTAAATGTTAATGGCCATGTGGTCCACGGGGCCAGGGCCGAGGAGGTGGCTAGGGTGCTGTGGAGCCCACGCTGTCAGGCAATGGAGCAATGGGGACTTGCTACACTAGGAGGTAAGGACTGGCTTGAGGAGGGGCGCTGGGAGAACCAGGAGACTGAGCTGGAGTTTAAACCTGGTCTCCTACGGGCATGGCGGTGTGTGCCCATGAGCCCAGCACCTGGGAGGCTAGGCAGGAGGATCGCCGTGAGTTGGAGGCCAGCCTGCACCACATAGGAAGACCCTGTCTCAAACACACACACAAAATCAGTCTACGGCTCGCTAGGCCTTGTTATGCACAGGACTACGATGCCTCTGCCTCTGAGGTGTCACACTTGGCTCGCCTGAGACACCATACATGGGAAGGAGCAGGTGTCTGACAAGCCCGCTGATGCTCACCCACGGAGGCTTTGTGAAGAAGTACTGAGTGCCAGGAGCTGGGGGCCACAGGTGTCCATTATTCTTTTGTTAAAAATCAAAAAACATTCCCTGGAACTTGTGGAGACTCTAGGGAACTACAGTTTGACATGCAAGTGGCTAGCAAGATCAGTAATGCTCAGGAAACAAGATCAAATCTCATCGGTCTGTAACAAGACACAAAGATCCCCACAGCTCACTGTGGATCCAGGGCACAAAGTATGGGCAAAGTGCCACACAGGTGGCAACAGAAGTGGCTTTGTTTTGTTTTGATGTGGGATCAAGTGACATAGAATTATACACATAGACATACCCCTGAAAAGGCACATGCAAACATAACATCTGAGGCAGGTCTGTAGACTGCATTAACTGTACTATCCCTAGATTATTTTTTCAGCTTTGATAATGCAGTGGGGTTATGTCAGATGTCACTACTGGGGGGAGCAGGTTAATGGGTACCTGGGCCCTCTCCTTCCTATTCTGTGAACCTATAATTAAGTCAGAATAAAAAAGGTCTGGTTCCCCTGATTGACATGTTTTGAAATTTTATTGCATTTTTTTCCTTTTTCTTCTTTTTATCCTTGAATAAAACGGATTTTTAAAAAAAGGTGTGGTAGCCCATACCTATAATCCCAGCAACTGGGAGGCTGAGCAAGAAGGTTGTCAGGAGTTCAAGCCAGCCTGGATTGCACAGTGAGTGAAGGTTAGCCTGAACTACATAGTGTGGCCTTGTCTCAAAAAAAAAATTAATTAAACTATAAATGACTGTCTGGAGGTATAGGTCAGTGCTAAACTCTTGCTTAGTATGTGTAAAGCCCTGGGTTAAAGCCTCAGTACATCAAATAAACAATCAAATAAATCAATCAATAAATGTAGTGGCATGTGCCTATACACACCGTCCTCTGGGGAGCTAAGCAGGAGGATTGCTTGAGATAAGGAGCTGAGCAAAACAGCAAAATCTTGTGTTAAAGAAAAAAAAAGAAAGAAAGAGGAAAGGGGAAGGAAGGGAAAGAGCGAGGAAGGAAGGAAGGAAAGAAAGAAAGGGAAAATACATTAACTGGTTGCTTACTAGCTTTCAGGGGGGTTGTGCGAAGATAAACCTACGGCCTCTCATGGAACCTTCCTTCTAGTGGGGGAAAACAGACAAGTACGACAGGCACCCATCAGGAAGGCCCCAATCTTTTATGCATCTTTGTATAATCCCACGCTTGAGTGTGAGCGAGGCTGGGCCATGACTTGCTTCAAACAGAACATGGCAAAGGAAATGCGGTGGCACCGCCAGCTGCGAAGCGGAAGTGATGAGTGGCATCCCTGGGATTACTTTCCGAGCTCTGTAATCATAACACACAGGGTTACACACACAGCACACTGGGGACTTCCCTCGTGGCCTTGAAAGGGGGGGCAGAAGCAGCCGCAAGCTGCTATGCCCATGGAGGGGGCTACGTGTGTGGCCCCTGGATGAGGGCCTCAGTTCCACAATGGCAAGGAGCTGAACTCTTTAAATAATGGCACGAGCTCGGATGAAAATTCCAAGTCACAGGGGAGACAACGACCTCAGTCAGGATGTTGCTAATAGTCTAGGAGATCCAGAGCAGAGGAGCAGCTAGGCCTTGCCGGGAGCCCTGACTCACATCTGTAAGAAATGCATAGTGTTTCAAGCCACTAAGTTCGTGTAATTTGTTAAATAGCAATAGGGACCCAACACAAAAAGCTTGGCATGGTGGCACGCATCTCTAATCCCAGCACTTTGGAAGGCTTAGGCAAGAAGTTTGCAAGTTTGAGCCCAAACTGGACAACTCAGAAATTTAATGAGATTTTCTCTCAAAAAATAAATAAATAAATAAAAAATAGGGCCAGGATTTAGCTCAGTGGCCTAAGCGCCTGCCTGGCAAGTGCAAGGTTGTGAGTTTGATCCCCAGTACCAAAAAATAACTAAATAACTAAATAAATAGTAAAAAGGGGGGAAAAATAGGCCAGGCATGCCTGTAATCCCAGCACTCTGGGATACTCAAGCCGGAGGACTGCTGCAAGTTCAAGACTAGCCTTGACCCTGTCTCAATAAACAAACAAACATTAAAGAAATAAAAAAGACTGAGGGGGAAAGAGGCTGAGGAGAAAGCTCTGTGTGAACACAATACCCAGCACTGGACCAAGAAAGAGAAACTAAGGAAGGAATGACGATCAAAACAAAAAGAAAAACACAAGCAAGCTAACAGGAAGTAAGTTTCCAAAGAAAGAAACAAACAATCAAGTGTGTGTGTGTGTGTGTGTGTGTGTGTGTGTGTGTGAATGCATGTGCGCGTCATGTGCAGTTTGATCCAGCGTGACCAGGGCAGACCTTCGCGTACTATGTTTAAATGTGTCACTGGTTTGACTTCCATAGCCAGTGGACTCTGTGGGGCAGAACTGGTCTCATTCTCCATGCATGTCCGTGGTCAGCTACCATGCAAGGACTCCGAGCACAGTAGTAAGTCCAAGACTAAGTCTACTTTTCCAAGATGCTAAGCTCGCTGAGGGCTCAGAACCACCACTTTCCCTTCTCTGCAGGCCCCAGTAGCTGCCCTGTACAACGAGCCTTCACTGGCCCCGGAACTCATGCTCAGTCTCCACCTTTCTCCCTGGCATGACCCTTAATCTCTCCTGGGTCCTCTCTCCACGTCAGGGTCACCTTTTCCAGACGAGTCTCCAATTCTGACACTTCAGCTTCCACCAACTCAATAGAGGCTCTGGGAAAGGAGGGAAAGGTCATGGGGAAAGAGCTTGGCTCCACCGAGCCAGCCTGCCTGCCTCGTTAGGGTCAGGGCTGGGGCTGCGGGGCCACAGCGGGTACAGAGCAGACTGCTGGCCTGGGCGGGCCACCCACCTGCCCGCCTCGCTCACTCACTCTGCACAGTCTACGCTACTTACTACCCTCCGGGCCAGAGCAGGAAGAGGAGGAGGAGGGTGGATGTGGTGAGAGCAGGAAGTTGCTAACCGCCCAGAGCAGGTGCGGGGGGAGGGGCGGGGGTCCCAGGGAGCCAGCGGGCAATGCCCACTGTTAGTGGGAGACATGAAAGAAGTCCGAGTTGAAGCAGTAGAGGCTGGGCAGACCCTTGGTGGCTATCAGCGATACCATTTGGCCCCACCAGCTCCTTCATGTCCAATGGAGGCCTATTCCCTGGAGGGAGGCTTAGCCTGGGAAGAGCTGTGGGTGTGTTACACATTAGGAAATGCTGCACCCCCAGACCTGTGCACACTTACCGGAAGCGGGGTGAGTCCTTGAGACACTCTTCAAAATCCAACTTGACCGTCATTTTAGCTTGGTGGCTGTGCGGCCAGAGGCCCTGGAGGCAGGCAGGTGGGGATGTCGGTGGAGGCACTCCCCGCCCCACGAGGGCCAGTGGATGAGGAAGGACCAGTCTTCTGCTGGGGAGGACCTGTAGGGTGGAATCCTTTCCCCAAGAAAAAGGGGTGTCCTGGAGAAGCTCTGGCTCCACAGTTCAGACAGTGCTGGGAGGGGTAGGGGTGGGGCCTGGCCTGCCGAGGGGCCTGAGATCAGAGAAGCCACAGCCCCGCCCCCAGAGACTATCTACAGTCACCTTCCTCCTGTGAACCATGGTCTGCCTCTGCATCTTTCTCCTTTTGTGACTGAATTTTGGGGCTTGATGATCTAGGTGCAAATCCTAGCTCTGTCACTTAGAAAGTCTGTGACTCTGAGCAAGTTCTCTGATTTCCCAGTTTCCTCATCTGGAAGATGGAGATGGAAATCCCTCCCTCAAGGGTTGTTAGAAGAATGAAAGATGCCTAGAGTGGTGACACAGGCCGGCCGTAATCCTAGCACTAGTGAGACAGAGGCGAGAGCATCCCAATGGGTTCAAGGCCGGCCTGAACTATGTAGCAAGACCCTGTCTCAAAATACAAAACAAAACAGACCACCAAAAAGTGCTACTGGTGACTTTATGATTAACTAAATTAACGTATCAGTTATTGTCATCCTGTTGCAGCTTGGGTCTTCTCAAGATCCTAGGTTCTTGTTGAAAATAGTCCCTGGGCTGCTCCCAGCCCCCTCGTCTCTGGACTGCTTTATGGGTTTCCTGCTGGCAAATACTCCACCCACCTCTCCTAGCCTTGATGCAGCAGGACCAGCCTGGACAGCCGAATTCGCAGCACCAGATTCCTGCTTTCTTATCTTTATTGTCTACCCCTAGGTTTAAGGGCAGGGAAAGTCGCCTTTACCCCACCCCCAGCTGCTTAGGTTTTCCGTGGTCTAGTTTCCTCTTCCTGAGTCCACTGGAGCTTGGAGTTTCATCTAGAGAAGAAGTTGGGTTAGTGGCTTTCTTGCAGATGACCTGTGCATCCTCAGCCCCTTTACCTCCCTGGAGGCGCTCCTTACCTCTGCCCAGGGTCACATCAGTGCCTGTTCCAGCTTGGTGGGTTCTGGCTGCTTCCATGTCCCCTCTCTGAGTTCCCTGGGGTTTTGTAGCTCGGCTTTTTGGCCTCCAGCCATTGACGGCAGTTGGATACCACCTGAGATCTACCGTCACTGGGGGATACGGTAGCATCTGGAGTTGGGTGGGGTGGAAAAGAGGAGTCAAGAAGAAGGCATGGAGCCTGTGGGTTATGCCAAGCCAAGTGGGTGCCTCAGCCCCCGCAGAGCCTCCCTGGTTGCTTTCCCGAATAACACTGGCTTGAACTTGGGGGTGTTTAGACCTTTCTTACTACATGTTACCGCTGTACTGGCCTAACAGGAATAAGAGGCTGACAGATGGGAGTTTGCCAAGACCAGGTCTAGGGAGATGGTGGCCTGATGCCTTAACTAGGTTAGAATGATGTCACAGTCATAATCAGGGAGCCTCAATGGTCCTGTGAGCCACTCAGGGCCCGTGTGTGGCCTACCAGATGAACATCAGGAGTTAGGAGATTCTCAGTGACCTATATCAAGCCTATGGAGTCTGCAAGTGTGACAGGATGAAGGCTGTGGCCCCAGCCAGTGCTGATTTTCCACCCCCCAGACCTCCTGCCCTGGCTCTCACTGTTCTGCTGCTCATCCTCTGTGTCCTCTTCAAGTTCTGGGTTGCAGCAGGACCTCAGGTATATTCCCTTGTTGTAATATTCCTTGCGTTGCTGATCGATCTCCTTCATCATCAGGATCGGGGCTGGTACTGGGTGGAACTGGTTTCTGCCGGGAGTGGAATCTGAGGGGCCATCCAAGGCAGTTGTCTGTGGCCACCTTCAGGTGTGGATAGTGGACTCCCACCAGAGAAGAACAGCTCAAGTCTTCGGTTTTCATCTCATTTATTTTCTCTCCCCCCACCTCCTTTCTCTGTCTCTGTTTTTCTTGAGACAGGTTCTCACTATGAGGTTCAGGGTAGACTTGAATTCACTCCATAGCCCAGGCTGGCCTCAAAGTCACAGGGATCCTCCTCCTCTAGCCTCCCAAGTAGTAGGATTATAGCGTGCACCACCACAGCCAGCCCATTTACTGCTCTAACCATGCCTGGCCCATTTTAGGAAACTGTCAGAAACTTTTCTATCCCTCTTGGATTTTCTGTTCTTCAACCAGTCCTCTCTGGGGACCCCACTCCAGCAGTCTCCTTTAACCCTGGAGTCACCTCCCAGCACTGCCTCCAGGTCAGGATGCAGGGCTGTATGCTAACAGCCCCAAAGGAGAGAAGTGAGGAACAGACAGATAGTTCAAGAGGACTGTAGGTTCTGGGTTCTAGGAGGGCTCCCCTCCCCTTTGCTACCAACCTGTGGCTTCTACATCATCCGCAGTCACTGGGGAAGTCTCCTGTTTGGTGGCTCCCATTGGTAACCCTGGCCAGCCTCTTTCCACAGGACTGGGCTTTGGGTCCACCATCACACCTTGACCACCACTGCTGATGCCGGCACGGCCCCAGTAGCTGCCCTTGTCATCATATTCAGGTGTGTTTTTCTGAGTCCTGAGGAATTTTCCTTCATTGTAGTGTCTCTTACGTTGCTTGTAAAAATCACTGGAGTCTGTAGGTCAGTGTGAGAACTTGGGTTTCCCACCAGGAACTTGGTGAAGGTTCATTTCACCTCCCTTTCCATTCATGCTCACCCTGCATCTCACGTGTCTTGGAAAAGTTGTCTGCAGCTTTTGAGCTTCTGTTATCACCGTTCTGGAGGACCTTGGGGAGGAAATTGTCCATGGTTGCAAACCTGAAGAGGAGGGAGACTAGTTGGGGGCATCAAAAGGAGAAAACTACAGTGGGGCAGGTAGTAAATGGGACCAACCTGGCTGACCCCACCACATTGGCCTTGGTCAGGCCTGATAGGAATTGTAGTACCTCCTATTTTGGGGTCCAACAGCAGAGATACTTCATGCTAAAGTTCAGCGCTGAGAAGCAGTAAAGATCCAAAACCCCAAAGGATCTGCAAGGACTCTCACCTCTCTGCCAGCACTTCAGGGGTCACCTTGAGGGAGGACCCAGCAGAAAGGTCCTCATCACTGTCCTGCAGTCTGCAGAGGAGAAAACAATGCTGGGAGGTGGGCCTGAGGTTTTTCTGCCTCCTCCCCTTGTCCCTTGTTAGAATAGAGAACGGAGTCTAGGTTGAAAAGCTTGGCACCTGTGGAAGGGGGTGGCAGGCTCGTCCACTTTCATAAAACCATAGTCCTTATCAGCAGGGTGGTGAGTGGCCAGGATATTCATCTCATCCCAGTGTTGAGACTTTTTCCTGAGGTGGGGAGAAGACAGAGAGAAGGTGGGAAATAACCTACTGAGCCCTTCTTCACAGGCTTCCTTCATTCTTTCAGTCATTTAAGAACTTCATACCTTCTTGCAGAGGCTAGGGATGAGGTCAGACCCAATGATAACCATTTTACTATGTGAGCTCCTGTTCTATCAAAGACCTGGAACGTAATGTTGGACATAATGTTCTGGACCCAACAGTCCTCACCTACTCTCATACCACACTCTCAGACTCCGCCTCCTGCTTCATGGCTCCGCCCCTCCCACATGCCTAGCTCCTCCCCCTCAGTCTGGAAACAAAGCTGGGCCCTTACTTCTCCTCACTGGGGGATTTCTCCTGTAAGGTGCTGTGGTTGTGTTTCAAGATGCTCCGGGGCTGGTCCTCACTGGAGTTGTAGGGATGCAGGAAAGTTGACTCGGAGCCCGGAGTGACCCACGAACCGTGTGCCCTAGGCTCCTTGGGCCCAAGGCTGGTGGACGCGGCGGTTAGACTGGTCCCAGGGTGAGAGGGGTTGAATCCACCAGGGGATGTGCTGTATCCAAGGTTGTAGCCTGCAAATTCCCTAGGGTGCTGACTGGGCCTAGAACCAAGGGTCATTGCTCCTTGGGAAGTCCGGCTTGAACTAGGACTGTAAATTATGGTATCCCTGGAGTGCAAGGTGGGTCCTGAGCCTTGAAACAGGACTCCTCCAGAGGGGAGCGTGGTGTTCATTACTGTTCCTCCGATCCCTCCCGCGGCTCCTCTGGCTTCCCCTCTAAAGAATTCCCTCCGAGGGCCGCCAGCAGCTCCCGGACTCTCCCGCTTCTCCATGGCCCCTCCTCAGGGGCCCCTCCCTGCTACCCGCCCCGCCTCCCTGCTCCACATAGCCCCGCCCCCGGCCCCGCCCCCACGGTAAAGGTCTTGGGACGCTCAGGCTCAGCTGATTCCTAGCCCTCCAGAGTTGAGGTGGGCGTAATGAAGACTATATAGGGATTTTAGCCTAGGAGCCCCTGCGTCACTGGCCCTTTCTTTTTTGTTCCACCCAAAGACTATCTTTCATTGTTTCGGCCATTCATTCCCGTCCTTCTCCATCACCACTATCACACAAATCAACCAATGATAGCCAGAAGGCCTGGCCCAGGGCGGGGTGGGCGGAACAACCTTGATTGTGACGTCGTCTGAGTTCAGAGCAAGCACGGGAAAACTGGATTTAGAATTAACTCTGGGCGTTTCCTCGGGGTCATCAATACTTGTTTGAAAATGCATTCTTGGACTTCTTTTAAAAAAGTTTTTTTGAGAGAGGCTCTTGCTATGTGGTTGAGGTTGGCCTTGAACTATGTAGTCCAGGCTGACTTTGAATTTGGGACGATCGTACTGTTTCAGCATCCCAAATCTGGGATTACAGGCATGTACGACCACGACTGGCTCTCATTTGTAGTTTTAAAGTCTAAAGCGTCTGGTTGAAGTGACGTCTAAAGTGGGCTTGACCTGAATCCGCAAGCTCTCCCTCTCGCAAACTGGCGCAGTCTTAGAAAGGTGTGAAGCAAAGCGGAGGTACTGCGACATTTTGGTCGTGTGGAGGACAGAAGCCCATTTACAAAGCTCTCGTCTCTGTACCTTCCAGAGCCCACTTCACACGGTTCTAAAACGTGCGGCGCGAAGAATAGACGCCGGCCCTGGCCGTCAAGCGAATACATTACTGTGTCGCTTCGCCCTGCGAGGGCGGGATCGCAGGTGTCGCAAAGCGTGTTTGGGCGCTTGCACCCGTCCGTCGTAAAGATGCCTGCGGCAGGCGTTCCTCTTTCTGTCGCAAAAGCTAGGAGGCCCAACTCTCCACTCTCGGAACCACTTCATCGGGCCCTGCCGTAAAGGAAACCTGCCGACCCTGTCGTCCTTCTGTTTCCACCGTGGTAGTCGCTAGTTCCCTAGCCGGGATGCTTCCTTGCCCGGCATTGCCGTAAAGCACACCTGGCCCCAGCCCCCGGTCGTAGTCCCTTAGGGTGTCTGTCCTCCGCGGTTGCCACGGTGCCGCCAAGCGCGGCTGTCGCGCGGCCCCGGTGTCAGCGGCGATGGCGGCGGGGTCGGGTGGGAGTGGGGGGTCTGGGGGAGGCCCCGGGCCAGGGCCAGGCGGGGGTGGGGGCCCTGGCAGCAGCGGCCCAGGCCCGGGGTCCAGCGGGGGTCTCGGCAGCGTTGGGGAGCTGCACCCGCGCACCGGGCGCTTGGTGAGCCTGTCGGCCTGTGGGCGTACAGCGCGGAGGCAGCAGCCAGGCCAGGAGTTTAACCATGGGCTGGTGTTGAGCCGGGAACCCTTGCGCGATGGACGCGTCTTCACTGTCCGCATCGACCGCAAGGTGCAGGGGCGGGCCCGGGGAACCGAAACGTGGAGGGGAGTGGGAGGGAAGCGAGGGAAATGCGGCAGGACAGCTAGAAATCTCGCCTCGCTGGGTTCCTAAAGGGGCCCGATAGAGGTAGGGCATGAAGGCATGGGCAGAAAGAAAATGATTCAGAAACGTTCAGTCCGAAGGAAGAGACAGGGAGAGCCCAAGAATCCGAAAGACTCAAGCAGAAAAGGGACCCGGGGGCCCAGCCAATAGTCCAGCTGGGGAGTGGGCCTCCTGACACAGTTTCCTGGGGATAGAGGTGATGTCAGATGTGTTAGGAAAAATGGAGAGAGAGAGGAAAGCACAAACCATAGAAGGACAGACATACCGGAGGCAGAGCCAGAAAGACAGATGCAGTGAAATACTCTGGGGGAGAGAGGTGTGTGTGTGGCTGGTCCCACAGGGAAGGAATGTGGGAGGAGAGTGGATCTGGGAGGAGTCTGACCCTAGGAGAGAGTTGGGCTGGGAAGAGAGAGAGAGACTGGAGAAAGCAGTGTGGACAGTGTGTGCGTTGCGGTGGCTGAAGGTCCACAGAACGTTTGGAAGAGATAGGAAGCTGAAACAAGGGGGTTTAACCTGCTTCTGAGGAAAAGAGCACCTTTTACAGAGCAGGCTCACCGGGGGACAGTGGAACCAAATAACTGCCCAAGTGGGGTCTAGAAAATGACTTGTGGGCTGCGTTTCTGGGTGGTGCCTGAGAGATGACAAGAGGTGCACAGTGGCAGGTGGAATGTAGCTTCCTAGAAGTGGGAGACCCCAATGATGGCCCATCCTGAATCTGTCTGTCTCCTGCCTCCGACACAGGTCAACTCCTGGAGTGGCTCCATTGAAATTGGGGTGACTGCGTTGGATCCCAGTGTGCTGGACTTCCCAAGCAGTGCCACAGGGTTAAAGGGGGGCTCATGGGTAGTGTCGGGCTGCTCGGTGCTGAAGGATGGCCGCTCTGTGCTCGAGGAGTATGGACAGGACCTGGACCAGCTTGGCGAAGGGGACCGAGTGGGTGTGGAGAGAACAGCTGCTGGGGAGCTGCGGCTCTGGGTGAATGGGCGGGACTGCGGTGTGGCCGCTACCGGCCTGCCCTCTCGGGTCTGGGCTGTCGTGGACCTCTATGGCAAGTGCACCCAGATCACCGTGCTCCCCACTGAGCCAGGCTTCAGTCCCCCGACCCCCATCCCCTCAACTCCCCTTGAGCCCTCAGCACCCCCTGAAGAGTCTGCCTTGACTGAACAGGGGACCTCTGGAGATGAGGGTAAGGACACAGCGGGGCCCTGGTGGAGGGTGGGTCAGGGAGTACAGCTGGAGCAGCACAGCAAAGTAAAGGTCCAGGCCGGGCAGGCCGAGCCACGCGGACCCTGCGTCTGCTGCCAGGGAGAATAGGGCCTAGAGTGGAAGATCTGGCTGTGGTGGAAGCCGGGCCGAGCGCTTACCCCTCGGCCATCCCTGGACACTTCCTAACAGCCTCGAGACACACAATGGTGAGGGCTTTGGGGGCGCTCTGGGAAGGGGCTCAGGCAGTGCAGTATACAAGAGAGGAACCTCAGGAGAGGGCTGGGACGGGAGCGTGCTAAGCCAGCGTGTAGAGCCTCGTCTTGGTTTTCTTTCTTTGTCCTGGTGCTGTAGACTTTGCCAGCATGGAGCTCTCTGAGGTGGTGAGCAATACCATCCTGTCTGCCTACAATGGGGGGCTCTTGAATGTGAACCTGAGCTCCCCACCAGCAGGGGATGGGCTGGGATCTAGCGGTACTGCCACTTCGCCCATCCTCACTTCCAATGACGCCCTGCTCTTTCATGAGAAGTGTGGCACCCTTATCAAACTCAGCAACAATAATAAGACAGCTGAGCGCCGGAGGCCTCTGGATGAATTCAACAACGGAGTTGTCATGACCAATCGCCCGCTTCGGGACAATGAGATGTTTGAGGTAGGCAGGACCCTCAGGTCTGACTGGCTCACCCTGTGCGAGCTAAAAATGGGCCTCAGTCCTTGATGGATGACAGGCGGGGCTTGGGGAGCAAGGGCTGAGGGTCCCTTCTCTGCACTTGAGTTCCCTGTTGCTTTACTAGCTGTCATTTAACTCCAGATCCGCATTGACAAGCTCGTAGATAAGTGGTCAGGCTCCATTGAGATTGGTGTCACTACGCACAACCCTAACAACCTGGAGTACCCAGCCACCATGACCAACCTCCAGTCAGGTACCAGCCCCAGGAGGGGTGAGGACGCAAGCCTGGGGCAGCTAAAGGGAAGGAAGGCCATGTCCTAAGCAAGTGTCCACCCGTGCTCAGGCACCATCATGATGAGCGGCTGTGGGATCCTCACCAATGGCAAGGGCACCCGCCGGGAGTATTGTGAATTCAGTCTGGATGAGCTGCAGGTAAGGGCGGGGCCGTTCCAGAGGAGCCCTGGTACTCTGTTCCTGCCTGGGGGCCATATAGTCGTCTCTGATCTGACACGAAATCCTTTGTCTTTGCTTGAGGTTCGTTCGTTCTTTTTTTTTTTTTTTCTGTCTTTTTGAGACAGGGCTTCGATAAGTAGTTCAGGCTGGCCTTGAGCTCACTTTGTAACTTAGGCTGGTCTCGAACTCGCAAAGGATCCTCCTGCCTCAGCCTCCTGAGTGCTGGGATTACAGGCGTGAGCCACCACGCCCGGCTACATGAGGTTGTTTCTGAGAAGGCAGAATTCCTCAACGGGCTCTACAATGAGTCTGATAGTACAGTGAATCTAACAGTACTGTTACTTTTGCCCTGTGTTTGGTTTGAACCTATCCTTCCCACATGCTACGTAACTCCTGTGGCAATTACATAGATTTAAGGAAGGGGATGCTTATAAAAGGGTGTGACTTACTGCCTCACTCACATTGAGTGTCAGCACATGTGCTACTGAAGGGAACACATACACCGAGCAGGCAGGAAATGTCTAGAAGACAGGGACCTGGGACATGCCCTGCCCAGCGACCACTCGGGCTGGCCTCAGGCCTGCGCGAACACCTTTGGGAGCAGGTCCTCTGTGGAAGCGGGTAGGGAGGGGCCCCTGGGACTATGGCTAGATCCACACTGAGCTACTTTTCTGCTCTCACTAGGAGGGGGACCATATTGGCCTCACCAGGAAGTCCAATTCTGCCCTACACTTTTTCATTAATGGCATCGATCAAGGTAAGGGAGTGGTCCGAGCGGCTGTGGCCTGGGCTCTCGGGGGGATCCTCGGTGCTGCTTGCTCTCCTGTTTGCTGTTCACCTGTCGTTTTCCTCCCTCGCAGGTGTGGCCACCCCATTGACCCCCCCAGTGGTATATGGTGTGGTGGACTTGTATGGGATGGCTGTGAAGGTGACCATTGTCCACAACAACAATCACAGTGACCGTCTTCGCCGGAACAACGCCATTCTGCGGGCATTGTCTCCTGAGGGTGCCCTCCGCCGGGCTGCCCCTGCTGCCCAGGCGGAACCTGAGCGCCTGCTCTTTCACCCCAACTGTGGGCAGAAGGCAGCCATTACCCACGAGGGACGCACTGCCTTGAGGCCCCAGTACGGCCCGTGGGGTGGAGAAGCTGCGGAAGGGGCTGTGATGGGACTAAAGGGGCAAGATGGGGACCAGGGAGGTAGAGGGAGTCCCTAGGCAGTCCTGGACGCAGAGGTCAGGAATTTCCTGCAGTGTGAGGTCTGGTTGCTGGGCTTGGGGCAGTGGGGACGGGTGGTGCTAGGTTGAGCCTTGGCACACTCAGTATGTGTTGGGGTCTCAATCCCCACTTGCTGTGTCCTCAGTGCCACTGATGACTTCAATCACGGGGTGGTGCTGAGCAGCAGAGCACTGCGGGACGGAGAAGTATTCCAGGTGCGCATCGACAAGATGGTGGACAAGTGGGCTGGCTCCATCGAGATTGGGGTCACTACCCACAACCCTGCCTACCTCCAGTTGCCCTCCACCATGACCAACTTGCGCTCTGGTGAGCTCCCAAGGGCCGGGCTGGGCTTGGGTCCTGGAGCAGAGGCCATCCCTGCGGCTCTGTCACTTTCTTTAGCCCTTCCCTGCTCATCACACTTGTGATGGTTTGTCCAGTGTCTGTGGAAGCCATGAGGGCGGAGTGTGGCTGCCTTGGGAACTCACGCTGAGATCGCAGTAGAGACGGGTGGACTGTCCGTGTCGGGGAGTGTTTTGTATAGAGTACTCCTGCTTCCCCCTCACTCCTGTGGCCCCTTGTCCCTCAGGGACCTGGATGATGACTGGGAATGGCGTGATGCACAATGGAACCACCATCCTGGATGAATACGGGCACAATCTGGACCGCCTCAAGGTGGGAGAGGTGCAGTGCTCCGGTGCGCAGTCGGGGAGCTGCGAGGAGGGTGAATGCAGGGCGTCCCAGGCAGGAACTCCGCCTGACTCCTCACTCCAGCCCCCCTTCTTCCAAGGCAGGGGACACGGTGGGCGTGGTGCGGCGGGAGGACGGCACTCTCCACTTCTTTGTCAATGGAATGACTCAGGGCCCGGCTGCCTGGAATGTGCCCCCGGGTGTCTATGCTGTCGTTGATCTTTATGGCCAGGCGGCCCAGGCCACCATTGTGGATGACGTGGGTGAGGCCAGGCTCTGCTGGGGCAGGGGGTTAGGGTGGCCGTGGAAGGCTGGAGAGGTACCCAGAGACCTAATCCTAATGGGTGACCTCAACTTTTTTGCAGAGGTGCCTCCCGTTCCTGAGCCCCTCCCTGAGGGGAACAACCAGGTATCTCCAAGCTCCCCGTCCTCGGGGGCAGGAGGCTCTGACCTGCGATTCCACCAGCTGCACGGCAGTAATGCGGTCATCACCAACGGGGGCCGCACCGCACTGCGCCACAACTGCCGCAGCGAGTTCAACGACGCCATTGTCATTTCCAACCGGTCAGTCTCTGCACTCCCGTGTGTCTGCTATCTCACTGCCCACCCTAGCAGGGCCTCCATGACCGCTGCTCTCCTGGCAGGGCGCTGCGAGACGGAGAGCTGTTTGAAATTGTCATCCAGAAGATGGTAGACCGCTGGTCAGGCTCCATCGAGGCCGGTGAGGAGGTGGCTGTGTGTGGATGGATGCTGGAGGCCTTGGCCTGTGGGGTGGACTCTGACTTCCCCTGCCTTCTCCTAGGGGTGACTGCCATCAGACCTGAAGACCTGGAGTTCCCCAATACCATGACAGACATTGACTATGATACGTGGATGCTGAGGTCAGGACCAGCTTGGCGGGGCTGAATGTGCCTGGCTAAGATCAGGGTGTAGGTCTGTAGTGCCCCAGGCAGTGGCAGACCTAGGGGATCCTGTGCACTGTGTTCAATTCTGGGAAGCCCTGCCCAGCCTGTAGGAGATTCATCACCTTCTTGGGGGAATTCCTGCTCTTCCCTAAGGAGGTACCAGTTGTAAAGGAGACAGGATGGTACCTCAGACCCAGATCAAGACACCCTCCTCATGTCCAGGAGGCTGGAGGGCGCTGACAGACAGACTTAGCGGGGCCAGTGTGGGGTTGGAACTGGGAGGCTAACCCCTCCTGCTCTCTCCCCAGCGGCACAGCCATTATGCAGGATGGCAACACAATGCGTAACAACTATGGGTGTGACCTGGATGCGCTGGGCACAGGCGCGCGCATTGGCATGATGCGGACTGCCAAGGGTGACCTGCATTACTTCATCAACGGCCAGGACCAAGGCGCCGCCTGCTCAGGCTTGCCTCCGGGTAAAGGTGACTGCTCTGTGGCTTCTGGCCAGCCGTGCTCCACTCAGACTGCCTGAGCTCTCAGGCTTCTGACCCCTTCCTTTTCTTGCAGAGGTGTATGCTGTCGTGGATCTCTATGGCCAGTGTGTCCAAGTGTCCATCACCAATGCCACCGGCCCCATGGACAACAGCCTGGCGACCAGCAACACTGCTACGGAGAAATCCTTCCCTCTGCACTCCCCAGGTGTCTGCTGTGGGCCAAAGGGATCCTGTTCAAAGATGCTGCTGGTTATAAGTGGGGAAAGGCCCTCAGCAAGCGGTCAGAAACGAGGTTATAACCTGGTTGCACCTAGGGGCCCACATACCGCGTGTTGGGCACCCTGGGCTTGAGGATGCCTCGTGCCATGGTGAAGAGGTTTCTAGGGGTGCAGAGCAGTAATGTCATGTGGAGCCTTCGTATCCATTCCTGTGTCATGGCGAGTGTGGCTCTGCATGGCATCTGAAGCTTCTTGTCCTAACCCTGCCTCTTCCTGTGGCCATCTGTCTGCAGTGGCTGGCGTGGCCCACCGATTCCACAACACCTGTGGCAAGAATGTCACTCTGGAGGAGGACGGCACAAGAGCAGTGCGTGCAGTTGGCTATTCCCATGGCCTTGTTTTCAGCACCAAGGAGCTCAAGGCTGAGGAAGTCTTTGAGGTGGGCTGTGGGGATGCGGTGGGGGGTGTTGGCTCAGTGATGGGGCCAGCTAATAGCTTTGCTTTCGCAGGTGAAGGTGGAAGAGCTGGATGAGAAGTGGGCAGGCTCCCTCCGGCTGGGGCTGACCACGTTGGTGCCAGGGGAGATGGGGCCTGGAGCAGGCAGTGGGCCTGGGCTGCCGCCTTCCCTGCCCGAGCTCCGGACTAAGACCACCTGGATGGTGTCCAGCTGTGAAGTGAGGCGTGATGGGCAGCTCCAGAGGATGAACTATGGCCGGAACCTTGAGAGGCTGGGGGTAAGGTAGCTGGCTCCAGGGCAGTGGTGGGCAGGGCTGGGGGTTACCAAAGCAGAGAGAGGGGGACTGAGTGCCTGTCTTTGTCCCACTTTGATATAGGTGGGGAGCCGTGTGGGCATTCGTCGGGGGGCAGATGACACAATGCACGTCCTGGTAGATGGAGAGGACATGGGGCCTGCAGCCACAGGGATTGCCAAGGTAGACTACAGACTGCCTCGGGTTCTGGTTGTGGGTCCTTGGGTGAAAGTCACATGCCAGTCTCTGATACCTGGGTCTTGTGTCCCTAGAACGTGTGGGCTGTGTTGGATCTATATGGGCCGGTACGCAGTGTGTCCATTGTCAGTTCCACGAGGCTGGAGGAGCCCGAAATCACCCAGCCTCCTTCCCCCAGCTCAGACACTGGCAGTGAAGGCGAGGAGGATGACGAGAGCGAGGAACGTGGCTTGGGAGTAAGAGGCTGCAGCAGGGCTGCTGGGCACATGGATGGGCAGTTGGTGACCATCAAGTGTCAGGTTCCCTCAGGTTCTCCAGCCGCCTGGTAAAGGCTCATACTTGAGTTTTGTATTCGCCCCAGTGGGGTGGGATAGGCTGGTCATTAGTCCTGGTGAAGCTCACTGTCTCTCTCCACATCAGGGCCAGAATCAGATGGGTATTATGCCCACAGTCCTCGAGTTCCTGGAAAACCACGGGAAGAATATTCTTTTGTCCAATGGGAACCGCACAGCCACACGGGTGGCCAGCTACAATCAGGGCATCGTTGTCATCAGCCAGCCCCTGCTGCCCCAGCTACTGGTCCAGGTGTGCCTTGCCATCTCCCCAGTTCTTGCTCTGGGGTGATGGTGCCAACTCTCCTAAAGGGGGCTTTTCTTCTGAAAACTGAAAGATACAGCAAAGTTAGTTGGGGACCAAGGCTCAAACGTGAGTGGGAGAGGATGGGGCAGCCCGCAGCTGAGTCAGAGAGCTTGTCTAACATGCGCAGTACCCGTGAGTTCCATTCCCCAACACACACATGCACATACACAAATAAAAAGGACGGAAACGTGTGAGTTTTTAGTTTCTGATCTGTCCAGACATGAAAGGGCAAGAAGCCAGGCCGTACCCTGGGAGGTGCAGTGTTCCCTGCCCGGCTGGAGAGTGGCCGGTTCGGCTGGGTAAGTGGATGTCTCTGCCTGGGGGCTGTGATTGTAGAGCAGTTCCTTCTGCAGGTGCGGATAGATTTTCTGAACCGACAGTGGACATCATCTCTCGTCCTGGGAGTCATCACCTGCCCACCTGAGAGACTCAACTTTCCCGCTTCTGCCTGTGCCCTCAAACGGGCAGCCTGGCTGCTGCGGGGCCGCGGTATCTTCCACAATGGTCTCAAAGTGAGTGGGGAGCCAGAGAGGCCCAGGCTTCTGAGCAGGGAGGGCTGGCGGAAGGGGAGTCGTGGGATTTGGACTCCTGGGAGGAGGCGCATAGGTCTGAAGGGAGCGGATGGGCAAGGGTGTGTGTCATTATCTGGTCTATGCCTGCCTCTTCCTCTGGAGTGTCTGCCATTACTAGTGCTGTAGGTGGGGGTAAAAGAGGCAGGTAACTATGACCACTGAGCCGGGAGTCTCAGGTCTGGAAAACAGTAGGTCTCTCCTTCCAGATCTGCGAGAAGTTTGGGCCCAATCTGGACACATGTCCCGAAGGCACCATCTTAGGACTGCGGCTGGACAGCTCTGGGGGACTGCATCTCCATGTCAATGGGGTGGACCAGGGGGTAGCCGTGCCCGATGTGCCTCAGCCCTGCCACGCTCTTGTGGATCTCTATGGGCAGTGCGAGCAGGTCGGTAGCCATGGAGATAGGAAGGAGGGAGTACCCAGGAGATTGGGAAGTTTGTGGGTCACAGGAGGGGTCAGCAGCCTCTGGGGCTGATCAAACTCTGGCTGATCCTCTCCCCTGTAGGTGACAATTGTGAGCCCTGAACCAGGAGCTGCCAGTGGAAAGAGTGCTGGAACCCAAGGGGACATGGAAAAAGCCGATATGGTGGATGGTGCGCCGCCCCAAAGGGACTGTCATCCCGCTCCACTCCCCTGCGCCCATCCTTCTCGCCCTGGGTCCTGTGACCTGTGCCCCCTCTGCCCCCTCAGGTATTAAGGAGAGTGTGTGTTGGGGTCCACCGCCTGCTGCCAGCCCTTTAAAGAGCTGCGAGTACCATGCCCTTTGCTCGCGCTTCCAAGAACTGCTGTTGCTTCCTGGTGAGTCCCAGTCCTCAGAACCCACCCCCCACTCATACGGCAGGCCAAGGCCGTGTGCAGAGCCCTGGCGGCAGCTCCAGGGCAGCAGCATGGCTGGGACCAGGGTGTGCGTCCACATCAAGTCTGCTGTTCACTGTCCCGCAGAGGATTATTTCATGCCTCCGCCCAAGCGTAGCCTGTGCTACTGTGAGTCCTGCCGGAAGCTGCGCGGAGATGAGGCCCACAGGCGCAGAGGGGAGCCCCCCCGGGAATATGCTCTGCCCTTTGGTTGGTGCAGGTTCAACCTCAGGTATGTATGGGTCGGATTCGGGCATTTCTCGTACTGCTCCCCACCCAGGAAAGGAGAATGCCAAGTAAGTGGCTGTAAAACGTGATAGGACAGAGGCTAAGCTTCCGAGCAGTGACCACTGTGCTGTCTGCCTTGTTTTCCTCTTAGGGTGAATCCCCGCCTGGAAGCTGGGACACTAACCAAGAAGTGGCACATGGCGTATCATGGGAGCAGTGTGGCAGCTGTACGGAGGGTGCTGGACCGGGGGGAGCTGGGAGCAGGTACTGCAGAGCATCGGGGAGGGAGGGAAGGCTGGACCGGAGGCCTCGGGGCTGCCCTGACCCAGCTGTCTGCCTAGGTACCGCCTCCATCCTGAGCTGCCGCCCCTTGAAGGGAGATCCCGGGGTGGGGTTTGAGGAGCCTGGTGAGAACTGTGCACCTCCCCGGGAAGAGCAGCCCCCCCCAGTGCTGCTATCCCCCTCTCTTCAGTATGCTGGGGCTGAGACCCTGGCCTCCAAAGTGCAGTGAGTACAAGAATTGAAGTGCTTCGGGGAATCAGACCTGGGGGGCGGGCCAGGGCCTCTTGGGTGGACATGATTTGTACCCCCTCCTTTGCCCATCCTGGCTTGCTAGTTGCTTCTTCACCTGAGTCTTCTCCTCATTCATTTATTCATTGAACAGATTACCATTTAGAACAAGCTGTTTTAGTGAAAGAAAAAAAGACTTGTTCTTGCAGATCTTAGCCTTTCACGTTAGGAAATATTTACATATAATGCCTTGAGCATTGTTAAAGTGATAAGTGACTACAATGGAAACAATAAAAAGTGAAAGTGGAATCAAACAAGAGGCATGTGCTTGGCGTGGGCATGTAAATAGGGTATCAGGTTGGACATCAGAAGGTGAGGTTTGGCCCCTGTGGTGGTGCACACCTGTAACCCCAGCACTGAGAGGTGGGGGCAAGAGGATTGTAAGTTCCCACCCAGCCTGGGCAATTACTTATTTATTTACTGGGGGGGAGGGGTGCCAGGAATTGAACTCAGGACCTCAAGCTTGCCAGCCAGGTGCTGCACCACTGAGCTAAATCCCCAGCCCTTAACCTAGGCAGTTTAATAACATAGCAAGACATGGTCTCAAAAGTAAAAAAAGCCCTGGGGGATATAGTTCAGCATGAAGGCAATCCCCAGGATTGCCGCTCCCTACCCCCAAAACTGAGGTTTGAGCAAAGGTATGAAGAAGATATTCAAGGGAGTAGCTGAGAAGACTTTGAAGACCTTTGCAAGTAGCAAACAGCTGAAGCTCAGTGCCTTTTGCTGGGAATTATTTCCAAGGGACAGTAAGGCCTGTGTGGTGGGGACATTAGCCAGGGGCAGCCAGTGGGGCAGAGGCCTCACTTTCCTTGTTTCTGCTTGGATGACAGATTCCGGGACCCCAAATCCCAGCGGACGCACCAGGCTCAGGTGGCTTTCCAGGTTTGTGTGCGCCCTGGCTCCTACACCCATGGACCCCCTTCTGCTGCTCTCAGAGAGCCACCTGACCCTCACTTCAGCCCGGCGGAACTTGAGTGGGTCACTAAGGAGAAGGGGGCCACGCTCCTCTATGCCCTGCTGGTCCGGGTGGAATGAGTGCGGGGGAGCACCACGACGACAAGCACAGCTGGGCTCTGCCCCGACTCGGGACTCGGTGAAGACTGCTCCGCCTCCGTGCCAGTGAGCCAGGGCGTGCCTGGTGCGGCCTGGGAGCCTCGGGAGCACCAGGCAGCCTCGATCGGACGGAAGTGGAGTCCATCTCCGTGTCCAGAGGCCCAGCGCGCTCCCCCGACGGCGGGGAGCTTGTGGGAGCCCAGCTTTCATGCACTGATGTGGGGACCGTGGAGCCCTACTTTGCCCCTCGCCATCACTTAATTTATTTCCGTTTTCGTTTCTGGTTACTGTGAATCCCAGAGGAGCCTCTCCCTGTGCCCACACGAAGCTGCTGTTTTCCGGGGCCATCAGGCGGGAGTGGGGAGCAAGGGGGCGCGAGGAAGCCGCGGACCCTCTGTACAGTTGTTACTGACCCGGTTTTTAAGGAGCCAATAAACACTTGGAGCACAGCTCGCCTCGGTCTCGCGCTCCTCGCGGGAAGTGCGCCGGGTCTCGGGGGCGCGGCCGCGGGCTGGCACTCGCGGGCACCCGTCCCGCGCGCTTCCGCATTTCCGCTTCGCCCAACCCGCAAAGCTCGCAGCCTCCGTGACCCGGAAGGATTCGGCCCGGCCGCCGGATGTGACGCTGGGGCCGGGCGCGCCGGAGGCCTCGGGGAGCGCCTGAAGACTGGTGGGGTAGGGGTGGGGTGGGCTGCGGTCGGCGCCCCGGGCTGCGCGGAGGGGCGGGGCGCCCGGCCGCCGAGCCTCGTGCCGTCCGCGCGCGTCTAGGGTGCGGCTGCGGATGCGGCCTGGCGAGCGGCGGACTCCCGGGACACGTGACTCGCGCCAACACGGGCGCCCTCCTGGCCCCGGCGTGGGTCTCTGCTGAGCGCCCTCCCGCCGACAGGCCCGGCCCGGGGTCTGGCAGCCAGTGACAGAGAGGGGCGCCTGCGGCCCTCACGACCCCGGCAGCACGATGCCCGCGCTCCTGGAGCGCCCCAAGCTTTCTAACGCCATGGCCAGAGCGCTGCACCGACACATCATGATGGAGCGGGAGCGCAAGCGGCAGGGTGAGCCGGCGCAGAGCGGGGGTAGACGCGGGGCGGGTGGACAGGCGGGCCAGTGGCCAGAGCTGGGCCGTACTCTCTGGCTGTGCTTACGGCGGAGGAGTGAAGGGGCCTGGTCTTAAGTTAAACTCCGAGCTGGCAAGGACCTTGGAGAGCACCTAATAAAACTTATCCCTGGGACAGAAAAAAGCCATTACAAGGGAGTGGTAGGGTAACTGGCCTTTATTGGTCTTCAGACTCTTAACATTCGATTTTCACCACCCTGCCACTTCCCCATTCTCCCCGATTCTCCAGAGGAGGAAGAAGTGGACAAGATGATGGAACAGAAGATGAAAGAGGAGCAAGAGAGAAGGAAAAAAAAGGAGATGGAAGAGAGAATGTCACTAGAGGAAACCAAAGAACAAGTAATCATTCCCTAGTCACTCCCAGCCGTGGCGGTTTCTCTTGACTCCCCTGCCTACCTCTTCTTTCCTCTTCCCCTCCCAGATTCTGAAATTACAGGAGAAGCTTTTGGCTCTACAGGAAGAGAAGCACCAGCTTTTCCTGCAGCTAAAGAAAGTTTTACATGAGGAAGAAAAACGGAGGCGAAAGGAGCAAAGGTGAGATCAGAGTTAGAAGTACAAATGGGAATAGTGGAATTGGGAACAGGTAGCAAAATTGATGTTTAATGGCGAAAGGGGGGATACCTGTCTCCCTTTTCCTCCAGTGACCTGACCACACTGACATCAGCTGCGTACCAGCAGAGCCTGACTGTTCACACAGGAACTCACCTCCTCAGCATGCAGGGTGAGGACTGAACCACCTCACAAGGGCCCTCCTGGAGATGGTGGCTCCCCATTTCAGCATCCCAAAGCCCCTCTCCTTTTCCAGGGAGTCCTGGAGGACACAATCGCCCAGGCACCCTCATGGCAGCTGACAGAGCCAAACAGATGTTTGGACCCCAAGTGCTTACGGTGAGAGAAGTAGGTTTGGATGTGTAGGCTGTTAAGTTTCTCCCCTAGAATTTTCTCCAGACATCCGGCCCACAGGTGTACAACGCACTTACTGTACGGGGGCGAGTGCACTATATAAATGACAGGTTCCTGGGAATCTTCTCGCCCCATACTGGGTTTGAACCAAGTTTTACAAGCTATGCTGAACTGTAACCCCAGCCCTGAGTTTCTGCTTTACAGGACATGTTTTCATTTTTTCCTAGACCCGGCACTATGTGGGCTCAGCTGCTGCTTTTCCAGGCACCCCTGAGCATGGGCAATTCCAAGGCAGCCCGGGCGGTGCCTATGGGACTGCTCAGCCCCCTCCACACTATGGGCCCACACAGCCAGCCTACAGTCCTAGCCAGCAGCTCAGAGGTGAGTGATGGGGACAGAAGACGGGCTTTCCTCCAAGTCCAGAGAAAACCTTCAAGTCCTGACGGCGGCATCCTGCCTTTTTCAGCACCTTCAGCGTTTCCTGCAGTGCAGTACTTGTCACAGCCACAGCCACAGCCCTATGCCGTGCATGGCCACTTCCAGCCCACCCAGACAGGTGATTAACACTGCGGGTAGCAGCCCTGGCCCCGTGGGTCTACTCATACTTACTCATTTTACACATCTTCTTTCCCACATAGGGTTTCTCCAACCTAGTGGCGCTCTGTCCTTGCAAAAGCAGATGGAACATGCTAATCAGCAGACTGGCTTCTCTGACTCAGTGAGCATGGGCCATGGGAGATTCAGGGGAGGAATAGGTTGGGGGGAGCTCCTAGTATGCTAATGTCGACTTGCCTCTGCAGTCTTCTCTGCGCCCCATGCACCCTCAAGCTCTGCACCCAGCACCTGGACTCCTCACCTCCCCTCAGCTTCCTGTGCAGATGCAACCAGCAGGAAAGGTAAGGATGGTAATCAAAACCCCTTTGCTAGTAGGAAAACCAGACAGGTGGCTTGTGTCCTGTGGTGGTCCCCTCCTTTCTAGGGTTGCTTATCTGTAAGGGTGTTAAGTGGGAGGAGAGTACACTCACTAACAGCATTCTCCATTCACCACCACCCAGTCAGGCTTTGCCACTACCAGTCAACCTGGCCCCCGGCTCCCCTTCATCCAACACAGCCAGAACCCACGCTTCTACCATAAGTGACCATCAGATTTTCTCTTCAACTCCACCCCCCATGGGTGAGGGTCTCCCCTGTATGTCCCAGATCAATAAAACCTACCTGCCACCCCTGCCTGCTGCTGTTCGTGTCACTTCCCACCCAGGGGCCAGGAATACAGTACAGCTGCTTCGAGGGAGGGAAATACTTAAGCCACCCTTAGACAGTGGACCCTAATAAACTGTCATCAGGTGGCATTTAGTCTTAGAGTCCTGAATATATCTGCCAATCAATAAATACCCAATAAATTTAATTCAAGTAAGTGGCTTGAGTTGAGGGCTTCATATTAAACTTGTAGTTTTATTCAGGTTTGATTTTAACAAATGTGTCGGGGAGAGAGCCCACAGGAAAGGATGAAGCCCATGGGGGCAGGGCCCTCCCAGATGCCTGAGGAGGGGGCACATCCCTTCCCCTCTTCTCTTCCTCCCCATCTAAAGGGGTTCAGGGAGAGACAGGCAGGGGAGAGAGCTGGTCCCCAGTCTGTGGGGGTGGTGTTGGGGTAAAGAGCTATGGGAAACGGGATCAGACCATTGACGAGTAAGGGAGAAGGGCATAAGGACCATTTACCAGAATCCACAGCATTCTGATTCCAAATTGAATAATAATAAAAAAAAAACCCAAACCAAAAAAAAAAAAAAAAAAAAAAAAAATCCTAAACCACAAGCAGCACCCAACCCCTTCTCCCCCACTAGGGTTTATAGTGGGGGGTGGTGGGGAGAAGAGGAGGGCAGCTTCACCAAGGCCATGGCTCCCTCACTCCTGGCCAAGGGAGCTAGGTGAAGGGCAGGGGCTCCCCGACAGATTGAGGGGGTAGGGGAAACCAAAATAAAACGTCAAATAAATTGTGTAGGAGTCCAGCCAAGGGCCCAGCTAGAGTGGGGCCAGGCTAGGGGAGGGGCCTCTGCAGGCTTGAGGATCACTGCTGCCACTGCTGCCGCCACCGCCGCTGCTGCCACCGCCACCACCACCACCCTGGCAAGAGAAAGAAACCATGTAACACAAGATACTTTTAACAAGAAAGGCACAGCAGAGGATACCGGAATAATCTGATGAGAACTGTAAAACGGAAGATAAGGGCTCTGTTCTCACCTGGGAGTCAGTTATTTTGCCATGGCCTTGATTGCAACTGCTGCCTCCTCTGTCATGGCAGACAGCACCGTGATCTGGAAGAGAAAGGGATAGTCAGGAGATGCCTAGACTCGAAGGGAAGAGCAGAGCTGAACACACAAGGGCGCAGGAGGCACCGTACCAGGATCTCTTCTCCACAATCATACTTCTGCTCAATCTCCTTGCCAAGGTCGCCCTCAGGCAGACGAAGGTCCTCTCGCACCTCCCCACTGTCCTGAAGCAGTGATAGGTACCCATCCTGGATGCCAATCAGCTGAGGGTACATAGGAAAGAAGTTCAAAGTAGGCCCACACAAGCTGAGAGTAAAGGAAACGGACAAACTGGGAAGATGAGCACACTTGTATCAAATGCTCTCTTCTTGCCATTTCCCTCCTCTTTGCTGCTTCGGGTCAATCCTTATTTTCCCTCCATAAACCACCCTTGTCCTAAATGACTACATACCTGGAAATCATTCCTTTTGATGTTTGGGACATCCATATTGTGGGTTGATGGGCAGATATCTTCATATTTCTTCCCAGTAAAGATGTCAATACCAACCAGGTGGACCTGTGTATGAACCACAAAGAGAAACCCAACCAAATTCCAGGGTGGAGGTGATACACTCTCATGTGGACTGATGAAAGAAGTCAGTCTATCTTGTTAGGGCAAAGTTTAGGCGAACTGAAAATGAACCACAACCAAGGAAAGAAATATCAAAGCCTCAAAGGCTAAAAATTCCCCCCACCTTTTGACCAAAAGACCACCATTGAGATGGCGGCTAATCACACACGGGAAATGGTAAGGCAGAGTTAGGAGAAGTCCATTACTTTCAGATAGCGAACACAGAAGACTAGGGGAATAGGAATCTAGGTGAAGTTTTCTGGACACACACGGGACTAAGAACTTGGAAAATAGAAAAAGTTGAGAAAAAGAAATGTGAAATAAAAGAACTTTAAAAAGTACTTTGAACATCTCAAACTTTGCATTAGAAAATAAGGAAATAGAAAAGATCAAGGCATTATTCAAGTAGAATCAGGACTAATGTCAAGTCAACAAAAGACAGAAAAACTTGACTGGGAAACAAAAACCACAAGAAATTCTTTAAGAATTAACCAGCTGGAACTTTTAAGGAAAAAGTCATCTGAGGTGACCCAGGAAACACAAGCAATAAAGACCC